AAATTTCTACCCACATATAGGGTCCTCTATAATTTTCATTATAGAGCCATCGAGATGCATCATCATCATTGCTCGCGTTATAATGCGCTACGATCTTCGCCATCGATATTCAACATCGCTGGACACTACATCTTCGCCGTTACAACTCGGTATTGTTTGCAACATACGACGCAACTATGATACTTTTCCATTTCATCACGCACATTATACCATACCATTAATAATATATTCACGATCTTGGAACAAAACGGACTACTATTAACGACTAGCAAAAGTTTTCTCCCTACAGGTTTAGGGCAATATTATAGGGGTCTATACATATATATATATATATATACATATATATACAAACATACACATACTCGCACTCGTATATGTGTATATATACATATACATATATGTATATGTACATATATATAAGTGTAAAAATACATACATATACTCTCAGTTAATATGATATCGTGTAAGTTGTTACCACTAATTAGTCTCGATTACTTTACGACGGCGGACATAGGACAAGGCACAAATTAGACGTATAAATACGTACATATATATATACATAAATATATATATATATACAAATAAAGTAAAGTAAATACATATGAGTAACTGAAAACACATTCATTAGGAAGGACGAAGGCGCACTGTTAAAGGCGTGCGAGTGCATCATCGCGGTAGAAATTTCGTAGGGCTAAAGTGGTTTTGATACTATTACGAAGCACCGAAAGCGAACTTTTCTTACGATGAGACTTATCGATATTTTTTTAGACTCCGCTAACGAATCGACTATGTCAATCGCGCGCATGCCAATCGCGGCGAACGGAACTTCGCGGCACGTTGACCGGTTAACGCGTTCCTATTAACGCTCCAGCCGATTTTCCATCTCCCGTTGATCGACTCTCAATGAACATACGTGGACTCTGAAACCTTGGTTCCTTGAAACCGAAAAACTCAACGACTTTGTACGTACCCGCAAGACTGGAAGTCTTGGGGACTTCTTGATCAGGGATTCTGGAATGTTTGATCCTTCGAGCTTTGGACATTCAGGAATGGCGCATCATGAAAATGTCGTCTTCGAACGTTTTTTCACTCTTACGACTTCTTTGAACTTCAAAGCTTCAGAATTTGGGATTTTGGTAATTTTCGTAATTTTAGATTAGAGAATTGTAGAACACGGCATTCTTGAAACAGCTGATTCTGAAAGCTAGGATTTTCACAATTGTGTGCGATTGCGTGTGCATTGTTTTTATTAGATCCTGGATATTGATAGCTTTTTTCAGTCAGGATTATAGATTCCGGAATGTTTGATCCTTAAAATTTTGGACTTAGAAACATCGGGCTCTTAGAGAACTTTGGGCGGACCCTGGGTAAGACTTTGAACCTCGACGATTTTAGATGCTGTCTTGGAACCTCGGATTCATGGATGTTCTTCCAAATTCCAACATTTATTAACACTACACTGTCAGATCGCTATCCTACGATGACCTTACTAACGTTGATTCACCAAATATCCAATAATATAACGCTGTCATTATCTGCCAATCGAAATTCCAATGAAGCACCTTTAGAAATAAAATGTAGTATAGAAAGAAACACAAGATACTGCCCGCCTATCCAGAAAGAAATGCATTGTTTGATAACAATACTTGTGTCTTGGCTAAATTTTACTTTCACTTACGTAAACGAGAAAGAAACAGAGAAATGATGATCAGTGAAAAGAAACAGAGGAGAGAAACCTTCAACATGAAGCAGATTCTTAAAGGAAATCTGTAATTTTTACAGAATGTTTGTAATTTTTTGGCGAATTACTTTAAAATCATTTCCTGTTGAATTGTGTTTAATAAGCTATAATTGAAGTGGCGGCTAAGGAAAAGAGCACATTAACGAGTAGAGCGTAACGAATATAAACGTAAAGAATAATCTTGATTTTATCTCGTAGAGTACTTTCGTGGTACAACTTCATTAATAGTCGATCGAGTTGTAATTGGCTGACAGTATTTTGTAAGACGACAAAAGAAACTTGAAATTCTCTTCACACGGTAGATCTTCGCTTACATGCGTCCTTTCTCCAGTCACCGTGTTAGTTGCTTTCTCATAAGCTCCTTCTGATTTTCACGAACACACTTCCCGAAGTCACTCGGACATTTCAGTTTACACGCGTATCCCCCGATCATAGGTCGTCCTGTTCACGCTTGTTCATACGCAAATCTCATGATGTATACCCCTATATACGATTCTCAGACTTTGTCGGGTCTGTATTCGTACCATAATCGATACTTCTCGAGACTCGTGCGATTCGCAAAGCGATCGCCTAGAGGGACGTGGGGGATCCTCCCGAAGGACTCCTACGCTGCATCTTCTGTGTATCCTTTCGATATCGAGCCGACTCAACGAGCCGAGCTCACAAAAAAGTAACACACAGGGTGTCGTGTTAGTACTTTACATCGTTGCCCAAGGATTATGTAAGCGTAGTTCGATGAACGTTGTTTGTAGTTATAATTATAATTACATTGTTTCCCGGCATGTATTCAGTTTCTCTTTAAGAAACACGCAATTATAACTGTAAATTATAATTGTAAATCCTGGAAAGGTGACGATCTTCAGTTTGAAATTTCGATTCTCGCAATTCCAGCTCACCGGGAGCTGGGATCCTCGGGGAATTCCTTGTCACTTGGCATTTACTTGCAATGCAAACTTCAGTGTCCTCGGAGCTCTGGCGTTTAACAATTTTCGAGATCGTGAATCAATGTTGATTTAATACGTCGAGCATACAAATTGAAAATTGCGGATCGTTCTAAAAGACACAGACGTTTGGAACTTAAAGCCCTCGGAACCCGACTCTTTGAGTTCGCGCGTTCTCGGAGCTGTGAGTTCGTGGAACGAGGTACCTTGCACCTTGAAAACCTTACACGAGCTCCAAGAGATCTCGAGAATCTGGAAATTTTTGGCAAACTCTCTCGGATATTTCTGTATGCTTGCGATTTAATTATAATTTGTAACTGTAATGTATAATTATAACTATGTCACGTCGAAATGGAATGCTGTCGGTTGTTGTAATGACGTTTGTGACGATCGTCGAGACAGTCAGGCACTTCTGTGATTCCTAGACTTGAACGATGTAACGATATTGAGTTTGTCACTTAACAAAAATTCACGCGAATGACAGTGCTCGTCCTGCGTCAGGACACGGCGGTAGCCGAGGTCCCGGCGAAGAAGTTCGTTTTTCGTGACTAGCCATTCGAGCTTGTGCCAACTCGTTCGCGAGACTTAACTCTTTGAATACCGGACAAAAAGCAGTTCCCATTCGTGTGTAATGGCTACGTAAATCACATGCTTGTAAAAATTTCGGATCTAATGTCGATCATAGCAGTTCCACTATTTTGACAAATTATTGAATATTATTTTCCTCACTTTCATCGTCTACTTGGAATCTCTAAAAGCACGTTTTCTAAGATGAAATCTTTTAGTCGTGCGCATCTGCGTATATATATAATGCTTTGTCATTTTCATATTAATTATAGTCTGTTTCAAGCTTTGTTGGAACTCTCTTCACGAATATCTCGAAAAGATTAGTTTGAAGAATTTGTGTTCGTTAAGATCTTTCAGCTCGCTCTCATCGGTTCTGTTAGCCAGTCAAATCCTCACCTGCAATTCCGAAACACATCACCCGCGAAACAACGGCACAGAGAAATAATACAAATATGTTACAGAAATTCCAAAAGAGTGTATTTCAAGGGTGAAGTCGATTCGCTGCTAACTACAATTAGCGTCGGTTACGACATGCGATTATGATCACTATTAATATTTTTAAGGAGTAAGGAAGAGCGCTATCGTTCGCGTTGCTTAATCTAAATGAACAAATCCCACGCAACGAATCTTGAAAGTAGTCAATATCTAATCAATTCCAAGGATAGGATGAACTTAGAGGATAATTAAATCGAAGAGAAGGACGAAGAGGGAAGCGTAACCCCAATAAATTTGTAAGCGAACGGGACGTTTCGACGGAACGATAAATATCTTCCATTAGACTTCGACATCAACGGCAGGAAAGCGTTGTGACGAGTTTTGCCATACATTGTGGGGTGCAATTACGCGAAGTATGTACATACGTCACGTGTATTAATTATAATAGCGACGACAGGAACGTAGCGCATATTTTTAAAGGAGAGAAAATATACGAACGCCATGGCACTAAGCGATCGATTGAATTGCGATCCCGCGTTAAAAATAGGGCCCGGTCGATACTCTAAAAACTAGCGTAATCAAGCTGATCGATCACTATTTACGAGGGAGGGAACGCGCGTATGTAACTATACGGTGTCTATGAACCAACTCGTTTTCATGCCGAAAACAAATAAATTTGCAAGACAGGAAGGATGCGTTCTGGCGTTTTTATTCCCCATCTATCGATCCCCACAGTCAACGTTATAGTGCTCGCTTTTGGAGTCAAAGGGATGCTCCAAGTACACACTATATATTATCTAGTAAAGCGGTAGAGATATATCGCGAATCATTTTCATGATAATGACGATAATCCCGATTTTAGAAGACTACGCAATTGAAAGATGTTTCTCTGTAATGATTAGAAGTTTTTATATTACAACAAGTCGTATTGTGCATTTCTTTTCGTAATGAGCGTTAGTTTCATTGAAGTTGGTCTTTTCTTAACTCTGTACGATGTAATCAGAGGAAAATTATGACCGCCGCTGGTCACGTGAAATTTCCCTAATCAATAGATGCCGTGGACAAAGCAAGGAAAAAGTCATTATTTTACAGCAGAGAAGAAGAAAAATAAAATAACGTAAGAAATAACACAAGAAAATATAAAATATAGCCGAGATGAAATGAGAAAGATAACGCTCTCTGCTTGTTACAATAAGTTCTGTATTCAGAGGAATGTGGGGATTGGCTGTCGAACCAGCATGAAGAGTACGGAGAGGAGCTGCCGTCAAGTTGATATAATAAACAATTTCGGTATCTTTTCAATTTAAAAACAGGGATTAACTTTCGTGCTTCTTGAGAATGTTGAGTTAAACGTTCATACGTATTTTGCTTGCTCTTGGATTTATTTTATCGCAGTCTCGCCAAAGTACAATTGGCTGGTATACCACAAGAATTTACGCATGGATACTTATATGGACAACTTTTTTTCAATCTTTAGGTTACTGAAGACCGCAAAAAGTTTATACGTCGAACGAAGGGCAAAAGAAAATGGGATCGCAGTATTAATAATAATGGGATTTTTTTCTTATCTAGGAACACCGGCGTAAATCAAGACACACGATAATGTCTCGGCCAGATGCAAGACGCGCATTTCTTTCACGAATCAGTGGCTTGATTTACGACTTGCGTCTGGGTGTGCGATATAACGATCTGACAAAACGATCCTGCCGCTCCGGCTTTCCACCGTAGAGAATCTTGGATTATTTTTACCAAGGGGAGATATACTTTCGCAATGAAATCACAAGTGTAATTTTAGTCCCCTGACATAAATCTCAACATAAAGTAAATTTATGAAGCGCTATATAATTAATCTTCCACACATTGTTCATAAATGCACAAGAAACTACAATTATTTGCAAGATCTCTTTTCGTTACATTCTGATGATACAATAAAAGATCATGTTTTCAAGTCCTGTTGATTCGTGACTACTTCCTCCTGCGCTTCTGCCGTCTTCGCCGGTTCTTCTCGAATTACGGCGTCCGATATCTTGGTCGTGTTCTCGCTGAGGTTAGCCTCGAATGTCGACCAAGAACTGCTTCTCCGATCTGGGGATCTCGGCAAAGACCAAGAACTGCTACTCGACTTCCGTTTAGGCGATTTTGCTCGTGTGATTATGATGGAGGGTGATCTGCCGCCGTGTCTCTTCTTGTAACGATTTCTGGAGCTGCCGCGGGATCTGGAACGACTTCTGGATCGCGATTTCCGTTTGGATCTCGACCTGCGCGTTCTGGACCGTGACTCGGACCTGGTGCTGCGACGCCTGCCACGCGAGCCGCTGCGTCTTCTGCTGCGCGACCTGGAAGCGCTTCTGCGCTTCGTCTTCGATCTCGACCTCGACGTCCTTCTCCTCGAATTAGACCTGCTTTTCGATTTTCGCCGACTGCGCGACCTGGAGCGACTGCTGGAGCGCGATTTTCTCCTGGAACGAGAACCGCTGCGTCTCCTGCTGCGAGATCTGGAAGAACTTCTGGTTCTCGTCTTGCTGCTCGACTTAGTTCTCGAGGCCGACCTACTCATAGACTTTCGGCGCGACTTCGATCCCCGCTGCTTCGAGTCTTGATTAACTATGTGCGTAAAGTACTCGTAATAATCCTCGTTGTACAAGTAAGGATTCGTTAACGTGTATGAGCCCATGTCACATCGTGGAAAGTATCTTCGACCTCTGCGCTTACGATAATGATTCGCCATTGGCCCTCTCAGCATCTGTGCTCCCGGATACCTCGACATTGGTATTCTCATCACTTGCATTCCTGGCGACATTGGCGGATATCTCTGCATCGGTATCCTCAGCATCTGCATGGGATCGTAGGCGTCGGCGTAAGGAAGAGTTGCGTCTGAAACAACAGCATCTTCAATCGATGTCGTCATACGACGCCCACACGTGTTACTTAACTTCATTATATATAGTTGTACGTTAATAAACAGATCTCGCGCGGTTAGGATTTACCTGTCGGCAAAGACGTGTTATTCTGAGTTAAGACGCTCTTGAGCTTTTTCTTGTTCGCTTCCTCGTCTGAGTCTTCCGACGTGCTACCTGACCCAGAATCGTCATCCTTTCTTCGCTTTTTCTGCACTTTCTTCCGTTTCTTCTGCAAATAATCGCGACGCTAATGTTTAATAAAACGTTTGTAATTAAAGTATCAAGAAAGTCTGATTGAAGCAAGTTACTGCTGCAAACACAAGCCACTCAACAATTGTACCGTGGTTGCTAAAACCACGCAATTAGTTGCTTTATATATATTATTACTTAATTTGGTTGGCCCGCCATATTTCTGTGCGGGCCAACCAGACAGTTTTTTTCTGCGCGATAATGAATTTTATGCAAGACAGAATATTTGACGTGAAGTACTTTTTTCTTTTTCTCTTTCTTCACTTTCTTCTTCTTGGCATCTTCCTTCTTGTTTTTCTTGTCATTTTCCGAATCTTTACTTGCGTTTTCGCTCCCTTGGTCGCTTTTCTTCTCATCCCTTTTCGTTTCTGCGTTCATATTTTGGCCTAATTTAATCTCCTTCTTCTCCACTTTGTTCTGCAATATTGCAATGCCCATTTACAACGTTACCGACAAATAATTCCGACTTTTCACTTAATTCTGCACTTTTAATAAAGATTCTGATCGCATATTTTTCATTACGCACCTTTATCCTATCAAACAATTCATCTAGCAAACGGATGCTTTCCAACTGCCGTTGAGCTTTTGTTAATTTCTGTTCTTCTCTGGCAATTTTCATGGACACTTTGTCTTCCTCTTGCTTGCGAAACATCTTAAGAGCCTTCCGCTTTCGTTTCTCCTCTCGATTCTGTAGTCGGTCCACCTTCGCCGCCGAATCTGCCTCCTCTTTTTTTCTAAGATAAAAACAGAGATATAGAAAAATTGGAGGGACAATTCGCCATCTGTGGAATTCATCTCATGATACATCGTATATGCTTACCTTTGTTCCTCTCGCCGTTTCTTTTCTTCTTCTTCTTTCTTTCGCAGCTTCTCCGCCGCCAAATTGTCCTGCGCTATCAGACGTTTCCTCTCGAAACTTCGATGCGACACCGAATTATCATTCATGTGTTTGGTCTTATCAAAATCGACCTGTACGAGATCGGATCCATTGTATCACACAACAAATGGAACCAGTAAAATACAGCCTCGATAAAATTCAAATTATTTCTCAACATTAACGGAAACATTTTCCTAAACTGTGTTCCAAAACCCTACTCGACGGGTGGAACAGCATTTAATTAATCAATCACGATTAAGAAACTGTTGTTCTGTTTTCTCCTGATTGGTAAATTAAATGCTCTACTCGTCGAGTAGGAAAGTTTTGGAACGTAGCCCGAAAGATGCACAGTGACATTCTAACGGTTTAGACATCGACATTTTTCACCGGTTGTACCTTTATCGTTGCGGTTAGCGAGTTTTGCCCGTCCTTTTTCATCAGCTTCATGCCGCGCATGGCGTCCATCGCCCTGACGAAGTCCATGTATTCCACGTACTGCACGTACGCGTCAAAATATATCCCTTCCTCGTAACTGAACTTGTGGATGTTATTGCCAAGGCGCATTCTAGATCTGTAAGGATCTGCGGCGGGCACGTCGACTCTTCTCAACGTGCCCCATTTAGAGAAGATTTTCGTGATCAACGGCTCGCTCGGAGTTTCCGTGCCCTCTTCGGTGAACCATTTAACCGGCAGACCAGAGATATGAATAGTGTCCGGCCTTTCGCCAGCCTTCAGCTCGTTCATGTGTTTTGCGTCCCTGAAGTAGGAGTCCCAATTGTGTCTGGTCGGAAAGTCGTCCTTCGCTTCGGCCGCACGAACCTTAACGTTGAAGACATTGAGTTATGGCCCTTACGGCGTCTCCAGCATCGACGATAGCGCAGGGTCGGAGAGCGATAGTATTGAATGAATGAGTCGGGGCTGCGAAACATCAAGCGTATACTCGACCGTAAATGCGATACCTTGAGAACGCTTGCAAAGCCGGCCAGTTTCAAGCGTTGCAAGTCCAGCCTGGCCAGCACCCTCGGCAACCTGCATCGATCCCGCAGGTCGCCTTCCAGTCGGATAAACTCCAGGGTGCTCTTGGCCACCTTCAGGGACGCAAACTCGTCCGGCAGTATAAGCGCACGTATCTTCTCCATTACTTCCCATGTTGATATCGTTTTTCCTGTTTATAGCGCAGTTAAGTTTCTGTAAGAAGTTAGCTTTACGAGGCGATCGTTACAAGTGCTCGTGGTTTCGCACGGGACCACTTGAGATTTCTTTCTTCCATCGGTTGAACGATATGCAATTTCCCTCTTGATTGAGATTGTCGAATGCACGAGAGCGCGAGAATGCGACTGCGACGATGCAACGAACCCGTTGTATCGAAGAGAATTTCAAATTAACACAGGCAAGATACTTTGATCTGTTCAATGGATACCAAAGAGAATTAGAGAAGGGTCGGTAAGTGACAATAAGGGCCGATCGAAGTTTAAACGCAGCCTTGAGGGATATCGGACAAGTTAGAAGTGAGCATCCGCACACATACCTGGATACGATACAGCATGAAAAAATTACGATCAATGCGTTCGGCAGAAAAAAGCAGCTTGATAAGCGCTTCGCGCTGTGCCGCCGGCAGCAACTGTTGTAGGACTTTCTGCTGAACGACACACCGGCGGTTTACGCTTCGCCAACGTGTTTGCTGACCGATCGCCATCTCTTCCAGCATACTTTTCATACGCTGTACCGTTCAGTAAATATGTTGGGGCTGCATAAATTACTAAGTGTCGTCCACAGCGGGAAGTCTTGTAACAATTGCAAAGCTGCCAGCAGCGTAGCGGGAAGCGTTCACCAGCTGATTTTTCTGCCGAACGCACAGTCAATGTAATAAAACAGAAGAAATATACTTCCCTTACTATTGATTGACTTAGTGATAAGTTTTCTATCGAGAATGCATGCAAAGTACATTTCTAAAGGAGAAATATTAAATAATGTGTCTGTTGATATTCAATCGATCAAACAAGTAATATCAAAGTTACATAAAGTACCAATCTCCCTTCGAATCTCCAAAACATTACAAAACCTTTTCTCGAGGGCTGAAATCCTTTAAGAACCAAATTATATATTTGGGAACTTTTGTAAGTGGTATTTTCCTTTAAAACTACTTTAAAATCTTAGGGAAAATTCATTAGAAAAAAAAAAAACATTCTTATATGAGTCCCAGGAACCCACCAACACAGGTGTGATGTTTAAACACACAAGCTTATATTCTGAACTCTCTTTTATCGATAAAAGTGCACCTAAAAGTGGCATAAGAACTTTATCGAAAAGCCACATTAAAGTATTCTTATCGATGAAAGAGAATTCGTAACACAGGCCAATGTCTGATCATCACAATCGCAATGATTAGAAGTTAAAAGGACAAAGAATAGTAAAATAATTCTATTGATATTTTCAAGTCTGTCAGAACCTTCACTCTGAAATAAACGAGTTGCCCCTGCCGCATTGAGGCTACGTCCCAATATTCATCGCCAGTGCTGAAGATCCATCGTACGCAAGGCGAACAGTAGATTCAGCACTGAAATCGGCGATGAATTTTGGGACGCAAGTTGAGTAGAAGCGGAAAGAATAACAGAGAGCCAAAGAGCAGAACAGAAAGGTTATAAGTCGAACTTGCGAGAAGGAGGCGACAGAGACTGAAGATGATGTTTTACCTGGTGTCTTCAGTTGGGGTAGATTGACTGACACGTTAACTTTGGCAAGTGGTTTCAGATAAAGCGAGCGTGGTGGATATAGAGGCACGATGTCGCTCAGATCCCTACAGCTTCGAAAACGATTAGCAACCTCGCTACTAGGAGTCTCACCTACCTGCTTATTGTTATCCATCGTCATCGGCTAAGAAAATCAAGGAAATACTACTACGAAGAAGACGCGAAGCGATTTCTAATCTTAATCGAGCAAACGTCTCTCATTCTGTATCCCTCTCTTTGCATTACTCTTATGACAAGCTGGCAGGATGAGAACGTCTCAGTAGGGAGGTTGCGTCGAGCGAAGCTAGCGAGTAGCGTTCCGGTGCCGATGATATTCGCCGCATTACACGATCGCGCGCCGCTGTTCGATGGGCGAACACAAGTATATGTGGGTATCAACGAGATGTCATGGATAATTTTCGCGGACGTTCTTCGATGCGGACACAAAATGCACTATTCGCGTTATCTCTCTCCTTGCGCGCGCGCCGGAAAATAGATCTTCGATCGAACGTGATACACAGACACGCGACACCAGCGGCAATGACTTTCGCGTCTTTCAAATGTGCCCGTCAGTGTCGCCAATCCTATGGAATTTCCGTGGGAATTTTTCCGAGAGGGAAATTCCAAGAAATCGAAGGATTCCAGGCCAACTTGTAGAACCAGTCTGTTACGCAATTTATCTGTCACTTGTGTTCGGAAAATTCATTCGATAAAGAAAACGCGTTCTTCCTATATCACAGATTATATGAGACGTTAGATAGTATATTCCCTTCTAAAGTCCGACACTGAGAGCGCCACTTGCGGAATGCTGCCGTACTACTATTGAACGGAGAAGGGTTTTCGAGGCGATACCGGGTCGAGCGAAGGCGCACGTCAAAATGTATTCGCATATTCTCTCAGGACGCGCGATGCTCTCTGTTCGAACGATTTCCCTCGAGTCTATGTGTCCTTTTTCTACTTACAAGCGTAACATCATCATTCCGCAGCGTTCATCTCTCTTTGTTTGCACGATGCGCTCACGATTCTCGTCACGCGCGTCCTAAACTAGGAGGAAGGCTGCCGATGGTTCCGAGGCTGAAATTCTCATTGGCTGGCGGGCAGCGCCCAAGAGAACGCGAACGGCGCCATTTGTTTGGACGCGCTACGGAGTCGCTCCGTGTTGAAGGAAGGCTCAGCGAGAGAAAGGATCGGGGGCCACACGCTCGGAGGAGAACGGCGACTATGAGCTGATTCCCGATTGACGCATTCACGAGGATCATGCTGCGAGGAACGATCAGCGTCGCTTCGCGAATCGATAGGAACGCACAGCCGCCTCGTTCCAACGGCCTTTGAACATTCGGTGTCTCTGTTCGCCCCGATCCTGAGGAAACGAAGACGTCGACGAGCGGGCTAGAATGTCTCTGAGCGCGAGCGCGGAGAATTTGTCGTCCGAGGGACAAGTGAGTGGAATCCTCTCTGATTGCCGACGAAGATGACTCCCACGCGACTCACTTCCCGCTGCCACACCTGTTTCTTCGTAACACAAGTCACGTTTTGTGCAATCATTTATCCTGTGCTCTTCGCGTGGCATAACTTGGCATAATCTAGTCCGGATGAGGCTTTACACCCGACCGAAGACGCTTCACTTCACTCGAAGCGGCTCGATCGAGCGATCACAAGGCATGCACGCATTTTTACGCACGTTTCATCATCCTCAAGATGCGAGGAAAGTTTGCACCGCTAGTCCCTCACGTCAGATCACGTTCAGCAGCGAGCTTGTGTTTGGGTGAAATAGTTCATTCCGCCTGTATAGGCGCAACGCAAGTTTTCACCGGTCTGTTGTTTCAATTCTCAATGGGTTCCATAGGGGAATTATTCTGTATTAACTTTCTTTCTCTCTCTGTACTGGATGAACAATCAAGCGTCAATCAAGCTGGAATCATCCCTATCTTTTTTCATTCTTGATTAATTTGGGAAATCTCCACCTTTCTTATGCTGCATTCATTTGGAGCACAAGATGGAAGGGGATATATTTTAATATTTTACATACCTCATTTATATCTCCAATACTTATACAAACATAAACCAACGTCCTTGTGTTATTAACTATTAAGTGTCAAAGTAAATGACCATCTGGTATTCTTTGCGAACAAGTACTCAAACTTGCTCTAATTCTTTGCGAACGAGTATTCAAGCTTGCTCTAATTCGAATGTGACTTAACCTGATAATTATGCAAAACAATTATTTCCTCTAATAATTATACAAATCTATTTCCACGCACGGTTATGGCAAGATCTATGACAATGCTTGACTAATATATATAAGTGATTTTGCGTGCGAGGTGGTATTACAAAATACGATATTTTGCAATGTTCACCAGAACAGCGAGAGATGGAACATGTGTCTGGAATTAGCGCTGGAGGGCGAACGCCTGTGCAAAGCCGGCGACTGCAAGTCCGGCGTGGCGTTTTTCCAAGCTGCGATCCAGGCCGGCACGGACGACCTACGGACGTTGAGCGCGATCTACAGCCAGCTGGGCAACGCGTACTTTTACCTGGGTGACTACGTCAAGGCGATGCAATATCACAAGTTAGACCTGACGCTGGCCAGAAACATGGGCGACAAATTGGGCGAGGCCAAGTCAAGCGGGAACTTGGGCAACACGTTGAAAGTTATGGGCAAATTTGACGAGGCCATGATATGCTGCAAGAGGCATCTGGAGATATCCAGAGAGATCGGAGATAAGGTAGGCATATCGATACGTTTACAAAAAGGAAGGAAATATGAAAACGTTCTGCGAAACTCGGCACTGTTTTTTTTTTTACAAATTACAAGACTACATATGTCTCAATAAACACTGACATAACATCAATGTTATAATTTCCCATTCAATAATGTAAGTACGATAATAACGCGCGGGGTTATGTAACAATTGCATTGTTGAATGGGAGATTATAATATTGACGTTACATCATTGATGGTCGGCGTTTACTGGATTCTTGTTAGTCCCTGTGATTTTTCTCTCCGGAGATATTTCTCCGTTTCGAGTTATTTTCACGATTTGTTGGCAAATTTGTGCAGCTTAGCGAAGGGAGAGCCCTTTACAATCTCGGGAACGTGTATCACGCCAAGGGTAAGCAGGCGAGTAGGATAGGCCACCAGGATCCCGGTGAGTTCTCCGAGGATGTCCGGCAGTGTTTGCAGCAAGCTGTGCGCTATTACGAGTAAGAGCCCGTCCGATCCTTCGTCGCTTTCAATTCACTCCTAAACGCGTCCTATCCACGTCGAGAACTCACATACGGAAGCATGATGACGCTCCTTTCCATCTCACAGGGACAATTTAGAGCTGATGAGGGAACTGGAAGATTCCGCGGCGCAAGGTAGAGCGTGCGGTAACTTGGGCAATACGTTTTACTTACTGGGCGACTTCCAACAGGCTATTTATTATCACAATGAACGCTTAAAGATCGCCCGGGAGTTCGGCGATAAACCGGCCGAGAGGAGAGCCAACAGCAATTTGGGAAACTCGCACATATTCCTGGGGGAGTTCGAGAAAGCCGCCCAGCATTATAAGTAAATGTTACAATTTCGCTGACCTGATACATCCTAACTGAAACATATCGGTATTGATCGCAGTTTACAGGAGGAGTTTGCTCTTACTTCTCACGGTCCTCGGGATCACTGAGAAAAATTACCGGTCGGTTTTCAGGAGAACGTTGGTCCTTGCGCAGGAGTTGGGCGACCGGGAAGTGGAGGCGCAGGCGTGTTACTCCCTGGGCAATACGTACACTCTTCTGCGCGACTACCCGGCGGCCATCGAGTATCATTTGTGGCACTTGGGTATAGCCCAACAACTGAAGGACCGGGTCGGCGAAGGACGCGCCTGCTGGTCGTTGGGCAACGCGTACGCCGCGATGGGCAATCACGAGAAGGCGTTGCATTATGCGAATCTGCATCTGCACATCTCGAAGGAGCTGGAAGATCAAATGGGCCAGGCCACCGCGCAGATGAACGTCGACGACCTGCAGAAGATCCTCGGCCTAGAGAAGAGCCAGCAGGAGAGCAATAAGGAGAATCTCAACACGCAGCAGAAAGTCGCCGTGAACGCGGCGTCCAACGTCTCGGCGGCCACGCCGTGCAGATACCGGCTCAGGCGGCAAAGTATGGACAACCTGGATCTCATAAAGGTTCGTGCTAATGTTCCTTTAGGCTTCGAGGTATCACGAGATTCACAGCTATTGTGTGAGTAAATCTGATTGAATAAAACAGACGAATGAACATCCGTTGTTTGATCAGCTTACGCCCGACACCAAGCAGAAAGATCAGTCGGAAGACGTGCTGCACAAAGGCGGCAATGTCGCGTCGCAACCGTCTCAGAAAGAGGAAGACAATTTCTTCGATTTGCTGTCTCGGTTTCAGTCGGGCAGAATGGACGACCAACGGTGTGCGCTCAACACGAAGCACAACCCGAAATACCGGACGATCACACCGGAAGAGTCCGATATGGAGGATAAGTGAGTGGAAATATTGATTCGACTCTTGAAGGGCGAATAGAGGACCGTCCACTTGTTGGTGTCGCAGCGCGTTCGGTTAGACTTTTGTAATTAATCAACTGGTTTGACAATGTCACTTTGCAGAGACGGGGAAGATTTGCTAGAATTAATTGCCGGAATGCAAAGCAAACGGATGGACGAGCAACGAGTGACGTTACCGTATCTGCCAGGACTGAATACCAATCAGGATGCGGACGACTCCTTTATCGAGATGCTTGTCAAATGCCAGGTACGCGCGGAAACCATGGCATTATCACTGGGGCTCATATTAATTCTCGTTATTTGAAACATCTTATGTGAAATTTAGAGCCGAATTCGGAAAATTAGATCCCGAGTTTCCCGGCGACGATATTTTACGATACATCTGGCGTCGTGTTTGTAATCACGATTCAGCTGGAAAATTCAGAGATCTAACTGCAAATTCAAATCTGAGTATCTCACTTGAGACAAGTCTCAAGGAACGACTATTAATGCAGGTCTAAGGGCAATGGCCCGCAGGAAAATATAAGCAGCAAGAAAATTGACTAATCATAGTCGATTATTCCTCCTTATGGCTGAGAAATGATCGTTTGTAAAATTGGTCAGTTTTCTTGCCCAAACCTTACTGCTTGCGTTTCCCTGCATGTCATGGCCGTAAAATATGCCACCTCTTCCTTATGTTCTTTACGGTTGGGAAAAAGAATAATGGGTGCAAAAATCGCATATTTTAGAGTTCCCGTTTAGAGGATCAACGGAGTCCTCTACCGGCCGCATCGACGTTGCAAGACGTCGAGGAGGAAAGAGGCCGGAGGACCAACGGAAATGCTCAATCGGGCTCCACCGTGCCCGAGGAGGATCTCTTCGCCCTAATCCAAAGACTTCAAGCTGGACGAATGGAGGATCAAAGGGCTTCCGGTCCCGGCAAGGCGTGCTAGGCCCACAACAGCAGACGGACGACAGTGACTTAATGATAAGTCATCATGATACGTTCCATTCATTGAATTCCTTCGCCTTACGTATTCTCAACTATATTGCCGATTTCTTCACCGGTCGTTCACTCGTCGCGATGCTATTTTCTCGATTACTTAATAGAAAATCAAAGGCTGGTAATATCTGAACAGTCCCTGTGGCGACGAACGGCTACTACAATCTGGTTCCTGCTCAGGCGACGATTCGATATACCTGATTGCAAAAATCAGTCACGGTGTCAGAAAGGACGAATACTCTCTCTTTCTCTCAGATAATGACAGGGAAGCCGAAAGAATCAGAACAATAGTTCCCGACTGGAATAATGCAATTTTTTCGCCAGTTATCCTATTATAAATATTCAAGTATATTGAAAAATATAAGAAACTATTCTCTTTTCTCATCCATCTCTCTCTCTTTCTCTCCCGCTTACTCAGTCTCAAATAGGAAGAACGTCGAAAAAAACGGGCTGGTTTTTGCATTCAGGTCTTCGATTCCGTTCAGATAAACTTAATGGTACTTTCACGTAAACTGCTGTATCCACAACGGAGAACAATTGATATTCTCGTAATATTCAGAAAATTGACACTCAATATTCCAAGGTTGACCGATTACTAGAAGTCAGTCGTTGCAGCACTAAGATGCTATAGATTCTTTAACAATGAATCACTCTTTAGTAGCGTAGGACACCGTTACAGTCGCGATTGGTCCTTAGAGAACAGGAGGGTGAGCGAGTAAGACCTGTCGGAGTCCTCAAAGTTTTGTAGAGGTATATACGTATTTAAGTGGACGTGATCTCTCTCTCTCTCACACGTTCACAACGAGATTCTTTGAACCGCGCCTCGCTCGTCCGCCGGTGCTGCGCTACTTATTCGAACGGTCACTCCGTCACAGATCTAACCGTGTGCGGGCAGCAGAAGTGAAACAACATTACACGCAAGTAACTTACATCTAAGAAAATAGTAACGTATGCGGAAAGTGTGCTTACAAGCGAAAATATCTTACGGTAGATCCAAGCGAACGGCTAGAAGTCGAGCGACGCTCGCGTCTGCGGGTAAAGTCCAAGTCTCCGCGCGAATTCCCTATAGCGTGGTGCGTTTGCTCATCGTCTGGCCGCCAGTCGTTCGCTCAGACCCGCTAAGTGACTTATTATTCGAGAATTCATACGGCGAAAATTAGCGTAGCATTTCAGGGCTAGAGCACATACACACACATACACATAGTCGTGCGTAAAGCATTACGGGACAATGCGATAATGAACAACTTCTTTCAGTTGTCCGTCTAGTAATAATAACTGCCGTTATAGGTATTTGGCTATTCGACCGAATGAATTACTACTATTGAGTGATTTGGTAAATGTGAGCTACGTTCGATAAATAAGTTGTTCGTCAATCGTAAAGTAAATCGCGATTGTTAAGTGAATAGTGCAAACTCTTGCAGACTGACGACTTCGTGATTTCTGTGACATGCCAGTAGTTCTAGCACCGGGATTAGTATATATTGTATATCAAGGACATCGTAATAATCTGTTTCATGCAGAGCTATAATTGCGCGTGCAAAACATGTTTTACAAACACTGCCAGTTTGAGGATGTGAATTCTTTTCAGAGAGTTTGTTCGTAGTAAAACGCTGAAGGCCCCTTAATATTTACTTCCACGTTCTCTCACAAGAGCGTACTTTTATTATTTTATACGTATATACATATATATATATATATATATATATATATATATATATATATTTTGGTGCATACTTCAATTTACTTTTCCACAAGGAAAAGTGGGATTATTTTTTTAAAGAATATTACGTGTAGATATTATACAGTGGACATAAGGAGAAAGAGAGAGAAAAAGGGAGAGAGGAAAGTATCCGTGAAACCCGTAACGAATATCAGTGCCAAAGATTCTCGATACGCTAAAAAAAAAAGGACACTGTAAAAGAGCAAGAAAAGGTGGGGAAAGCCTATTGAACGAATCTCTATTGTCGTTGCCATGTGATCAATATTGTTTCTGTAAAACTTTATTCTTGTCGTAACAGAAATATTGAGGAGATTTGTGGTTGATGCTATTTGAAGTTGGCAAAAGTATTAAACGTCATTGCATTCATCCTCTCCGGATAGGAAACTAATGAGACAGCTTTCTGGCGAAGCATTTTCTTATTTTATTATAGTTAAATTAATTAGATAATATGATGGTACGTTGGCTTTTATGATTATTTGTGAAATGTCTACAACCGAATGCAAAATATATACAACCGAAAAGTGCTGTACATTTTTTTACATCGCAATGTAAAAAAGGATGTACAGAAGTTTTTAGCTGTATATATTCTGCATTTAGTTGTATACATTCTATAAATAATCATAAAAGTTAACGTGCCATCATATTATCGAATTAATTTAGCTAAGATAAAAGTATTTCTTTTTTGTATGTATTTTGCATTCACAGCTATATAAATTCCGTAAATAATTATCTTAGCTAATTACGGAAAATTTTCGAGGAACTTTATTTTTCTGTAACATAGCGATATATGCACAGCTGTTAAATTACTAACAGACTCATTTACGGACCTAAATCAAGCTGATTAGCTAATTAAGTGTACAAACATGGAGGAATGTAGCTATGACGTGTTATCTGTTCTAATGATGAAATCTTTATATGACTAATTCCGTCACGATTGAGCTGTTGACTTAACGACGAACCGAATTGCAACGACGTTGTTATTTACGCTAAAGGAGAAAGATCTATCGATTAATATACACGAGGAATAAGTTGATAATTAGTTCAACAAGAGTGCAAGAATAGAAATATATATACTAATTACCATATAGGTTGCTGAATATCTTTTGCTAAATATTGTTATAACATTATAATTACGATAAATTGTATATACATAAATAGCTTCGATTTCTTCAATCAAAGAAGGAGCCAGGAATATCGCTGAGACGATTAAATGACAAATAAATTACGCTGATCGTAGATTTTTCGTAGAAGATTTACCATTATTTTCTAGGATACTTTAGATCACGATTACTTTAGCTTATACTTTTTGTGACAAGCTCTCGTTACGATAGATATTAACTATACATAGGTTCTCTATACTAATCAAATTGTTATTCTTATTTTGCGATTCTCTATACACAAAAATATAAATACATTCCATTCTGTCCATACGATAATGTATAATATACAGAAGATCAATAAATGTATACTTTTTCCAGAACAGGCGCTAAACACACGTTCAATCTGCCAACCTCTGCCTTTATCCTCTGAATATATTCGCTTTTCTCTCATTTTGAGATATTTTCAACATGTCGGAAAGATCCAAAAGCCTTTTTACTTCTGAAACTAACTATCATTACACCGCGAATGCGTCGTGGCCGGAGTGGAAAGATTTCGATCTAAACAACGAAAAGTGGGGAACTCCCAAAAATGGGCTATTCCTGGATGCGGAACCTGTCAAGATGCCGCGATCCTTAGAGCCTTATCAGTGGATACGAGCGAAGGATTTGGAGTATATGACTGTACTTTTACTGCTATTTTAATAATGCGCTTCAGAGATAGCACGTTTCTGCAAATTAATCCGTTATATTGTCCGAATTTCAACCAAACCTAATAATTCGTGTGAGATTAACAATATATTGTTCGCAAATGTGGAAATGGGATTTACTCCAGGATTCTTTGACGGTGTACGCATCGACCGATGAATATCCCGATTTAATTTCGAACAATAAGCACTTACTGCATAGTGAGGTATTTATTTTATCCCCCCAATCCTGTATAATAATTTAGAAGCGATGCAAAATACAATATGCAAAATACAATGAAATGTAATATAATAATACGTCTGAAATAATGACGGTAATAATAATAGTAATTTCTAGTTTGTGAGATGGTTTATTTCTGCACTGACGAATCTGCAATATTGCGGCCGGGAAGGATTGGAAATCAGTGGGGAAGGCTCGAATTTCACTTGGATCAGTCGTCATGAACCATGGCATGGTTGGATGCATGTATATTCTTTGAACGAAGGTGGAAAAGGTACTCAGCACCGACCCGTGATAAATCCAAACGGTGAATGTGACAGCAAATTTTATATGCATTTTCCTGATGATACATAGAAGGATTGTTAACTCCTGTTGGGTCTCAAATTGCATTGAAATGAAAATAAATCTATCGTCCTTCACGTGTAACTATAAATCAATAAAAATAAATAGTTTTAGAGACCTCGATCAACGTAACAAGCGACGCACGGCAATATTTTTCAGGGAAATACATCGTAAGATTGCATCACATAGGATGTTGGCGTCGCATTGTCGTAGACGACACCATACCTGCCGACAAAAATGGCACGCCACTTCTGCCACGCACTGCCAACAACACAGAACTATGGCCGATGCTTCTTGCCAAAGCATTGCTCAAAATTGCCTCGTTGACCTGGACCGAGCGCCGCGAAATTATCGACTTTCACCTAATTTCTTGTTTAACAGGCGGGTATCGTCCCTGTCCTTTTATAATCTCATTTCCTGCTATATATTACCTCTCATTTACTTTTTCGGAGAAATTTATTTCCGTGAACTTGAATAATTTTCAATGATTCCTAAAACGTATCAACTGTTAACGAATTAGGTTGACTCTACTACTGTTGAGATTTTCGAAAATTCCATACGCATCGTGCTTTTTATGTAACATAAAGCTTAATGATAACGTAGGCTGGACCTGCTTGACACTAAACATCGCACATTTATCGTGGCAAGATAAATGGGACTTCCTGACTAAATATTCCGATCATTTTATGTGGTCACCACGAACTATTGAGGGTCAAATTCCAGGTCTGTCCGTATCGAATATATTTGTCTATATAAACATAATTGCTTGCTTAACGCGTAACGTTATGTTTATCTGCATTTCCGGGTAGAAAGCTCCGCAAGCGTTACAAACAACAATACGGCGAAATCAAACGAAACTCTGCGGCTACTCGCCCGAGACGGGAAACCTCAACCGATCACGCTGTTTCTCCAGTTGCGCGACATGCGAGAACTCGGAAATAATGTTGTACCCGGCTTATCGCCTTGCTGGGATCATGTAATCCACGTTGTTCAATCACGCGATATTCCTCTGGACCCCGAAGACGTAAGAATGCACGAGAGCAAATCCCAAATTCAATTATTATTCTTTAAAGATAAAACGATTTTTTATATAGACTCGCGTAACAGATAAAAAATTACAGTCTACTGACATGTAACGTGTCTCAAATGAAAGAGAAGTCTAAAAAATGTGTAAACTAAATATAAAAAACATTAGGGAGAAAGAGAAAAATATTGGAACGTGCTGTTAAATGTTTTAAAATGTTTTTGAATATTTTTAAATGTTTTTCTAACTTTCTGAATATGTTTCAGTCTGAATCTTGTAAATGACTCAAAGTTAAATTATCTTCCTAGGTAAAACCGCCATTGGCAAGGTGGAAATTACATCGCTGGTTAAAATGGGCTATTTCACGCGATATAATCGATCCCGCCGATTACTTCGTTCCAATTCGCTATTTGAGAATAATCAGTCCGCTACAAAAGTGCGATGAAAGTCTCGTTTATGCGCGCGACGATGCTGAAAATAATTCAATCGTTCCAAACAAGAACAAACAGTCTAAGGAGGAAAAGAAATCTCAGAGCACAAAAGATTCGCTCGCCTTGACGAAAGATGCGGAAACTGGTGACGTCAGTCAATGGGTTGACTTCAACAAGATGGCACCATACGTAACGGAAGTGCACCTGTTTTATAAACTGGAGTACTTTCAGTGCTCGTTTCAGGTAACAAATGAAACGATAAAATTTAATAACAAGGATAAAGCAACAGTTGCAAATGAGAGAAGAAAGGAAAAAGAAGGTATTCCAAGCCGTTTGTTTCAATAACCGATATCATCTATGAATTTAATCACAAACGTCCTCTCTTTCCTATTTGAAAACTTGCAGACAACACCGAGAGATCCCACAAGGTTCAGAAATCCAGATACAAACCTCTGTACTTGTTCTGCGACTCTCTGGAGAAGAAATTCTTCCTTATCAGTCTTTGCGCTGCGCCAAATGAGAAGAATACTAATTTATACAAGAGAGATTACCTGATCTTGGAAAGATACAACTGGTTTTACGGGCCGGATCAATCGGATCAGGTGACCATTAGTACGACTGGCATCAAGTCAACCGTCGTCGAGATGGAAGCCGGTAGACAACTTTTGCGAATTGACGGCAGTCCGGAGTTCAGTTTGGCGATTATCTCTTCGGATACAGCTTTTCACTTTGGAAATCAGACGATTGTGCAGCAGCTGATGACTAAGGAATCGCACAGAACCGAGCAAATGTCGAAGATAATCAGCGACATCCTCCGCAAAGCTTATCAATCATTTGGAACGGAGAATTACCCGACGATGTTAAAAGACTATTATCGTAGCTACATGCCCAGTTCGCAAGATTCTACTTTAGAGGGAGATAAAACATTCCCTCGTATGCTGATACACAGTCTCTTCTTGGAAGAGCAAGTTCGACTGATCATGGAAACCTTTCCCGGCGAAGAACACGGAAACATCCTTCATTCTTTGAGGGTGTTCTTTCTTAACCCAAATATTAGACTAGAATATTTGGGCTTAACACGAGCTCATGATGGCTTTCAGGATCTCGCAACAAAACGGACGTCAAAAATATCGTACTCCAGCAAAGCAGACATGGACGTATTGGATCAAGCAGCCAGGAAAATTCAATCCTTCTTCAAGATGGCTCTAATAAAACAATACAAATATCTTCATGATTCTAATCATCCTCAGCACATGCCAATTCGCGAAGAACTTCTGAAGATACCGAATCTATTCGACTTATCCGTGACGAATCAATTGCTAAGGAATGTTATCAAACGTCACAGCAAACTACGCGACTTATATCCTTGTTCCAAGGACTTCGTGCACGTCCTAAGTTTTCAAGAGTTCAACGGTACTTTAGAGAATATCAAACATGACCAGTGGTTCCCAATCGCTAGGATCATCGTGAATCCTCGATCTTCAGAAACAGTGTTCGCGGCTTTCGAACTACTGGTTGATCTTCCTCGCTTCACACTGCGTGTTTTCAGTAATCAAAGTCAACGTGACACGACGCGTCTCATAAACCGTGTGACTCCGGGTCATTATAGATATCATCCGACTGGTTATACAATTTTCGCTTATGGCTGGAATGGCGAACAGCGCTTTAAAGAGATCAACTGGACGATTCGCATCATTACTATGAAAGGAGAGCCGATGTTCTGTCAACTGAGCGAACAATGGGCCCCGTCCTTGGAAATTAGACCACCCAGTCTGATGGTTGAAGAATTGGCCGCTGTATACATTCCTAATGCCAGGAATTATATTTCGCGGTGGATCCTGCAGACGATCTCGAGAAGCATCATCTCGCTGAGGCTGACTACTTCCTATGACATGGTGGAAGTCGGAGTGAGACTCACTGATGAAGAGGGCAATGTTTTGATTAATGTGGACGGTGGTTCTACGATTTTGGTACCATTAGTGATCTTAGATCAATTCACTGTGAATAAAAATCGTCGCGAAGTTAAAGACAGAAGTGCAGGCGTCAACGAAGAGTTTGGAAACGCAATAAAGGAAAACAAATTGTACTATGTGGAGGCATTCGTGCGTAACAACAGCTGGCCTCTTACGGACGTCGAGTGGACTGTCGTGAATCGGATAAAGACAAAGGACACAGAAAATCTCAAAATCAAGATGCGACATGAAAATAAAATACCCACAAAGTCAAATTTGGCGACAACGAAGGACACGAAACGATCCGTAAATGACAATCAAGTTCTGGAATCGCCATATTGGATCCTTCAAGTTGTTACAAATGCCCGAGACGCGATAGAGGTCTGTATAATTTATCATATATATTCGTATTTTAATTAAAGGATATATTTAGTTAAAGAATATATATTATGTTCGCCCTCTAAAAGTCGCGTTTATAAAAGGTTGTAGAAAAAGATTTTAGTTCGCATATTCAACAACAACCCAACTCACAAAGAGCAGAATATATTACTTACTTAAAGGAAAGTCTTGGAAGAGATAAAAAATTGTTGGGGAGGGGGATATGACAGCGTTTAGGCTACTCTAGTCGCGCTATCAGTAGGACATGGAAAGTACAATATCGTCAATCTATCAGGACAAGTTCCAATTTAACTAGGATATATATAGCATATGTACTTTTTATAATTTTTGTATATTGGAGATTTTATATGGAATATAACAAGTATTCGAGATAAAATGACCACTCCTTTCAAAAAGAGTTAGAGAAAATATTAAGATGAGGATATATATATTCAAATGTTGTTTCGGTTGTTGTCGGTGGAGGAAGTTTTTCGATGTATCTATGGTTGGATTCCTTAGTCGCTAGTTTGAAAACTTAGCTTTTAGGAGAGGAAGGGAAAAATAGGGAAGGAAGCAGCTCTGGATCGCAGATTCGACTCCAACGGTTACCAAGAGAATTATCGGGATTTCTATTGGAAACATCATCGAGAAGAGTGGGGATATTGGGAGTATCCGGCGACATGGGGGTCACGGGGGGGCCTACGGAGTACTTCATGAGGTTGGGAGTATCCGGCGACGTGGGGGACACGGGGGGGCCTATGGAGTAGTACGTCATGAGGTTGGGAGTATCCGGTGACATGGGGGACACGGGGGGGCCTATGGGGTACGTCATGAGGCGTACGATAGCAGTTGGAGAAATTGGTCTGGAAATTCTGCTATCATTCTTAGACAGTAGGCAGGTCGGAGGTCTCGTTATTTTCGGAGGAAGGAGATCTATGGGGATTAATTTCCACTCACTAGGTTGGCATTTCTCCGAAATTGCTTTCTTGGCCAAAGGCATAATTGTCTTTTTGCCTCGATATCGCCCTGTACACGTAATGTTTCCAGGGAAAGAGAGCCGTTGCTCTGTTTGGTCCGGCGATTATGTTTCCTCTTAAAGATCGAGTTTGTATTTTTGACTGCGAGAATTGTCGTTGAAAACGCCGCCTGGTGACTTTTCTGACTATTATTGGGCGCGCCTAAATGCTCACGTTTCGCACAACACGTCAGCGAATGCGATATAGGTCGTCACAAAGTCAAAATAACTTCTAGTATTATTAAACTTATGAAAAAACTTAATTTTTTTTGTAAATCTTGCTATCTTTAATTAGCAGTAATTATCATGCTCGTATTCGATATCAAAATGCGCCTCTTCGTTAGATTTGTCAAGACGAGAGAAGAGAGCAAGAGATAGCATTACTGAAGGATTCCTGGCGGTCGAAGGATCCGAGTCAACCTGAACGTGGGAGAAAGTTGCGAGAGGCCTTCCTGAATACGCACACCTTGATTGTTGAGCCCGTGGTACCTTCGGAAGAAAATGAAGAAGAATCTAGTACAATAGAAACTGGAGATATGGCATTTTGTCAGTCGTACGAGAAGCAGCGTAGAACCCTGAAGCCACCGAAATCCTACCATTTACCTGCTTTGGATTTGACGAAATACATGACGAGGAACGGAATCTTGACAGATTATTACATAAGAATGGAAATTGACTATCAGATACTGAGAGATCAGCAGACCGTCAACATCATCGAGAGCCAAAAGAATTATTCCCATTACTTGGAGAATTTAGCTGAACTGACGGACAAGCAATTTCGAACATACGTAAAGCTGTTCAGCAAGAAAGAACAGAATTTTTGGGAGAGAAGAGCTCTGGTGGATCACGCTTACGAATCGAGAAAAGTCTACATTGATACTCCGACATCTTCGAAGGCAAAGATCAAAGAGAAGGACAAAGCAACCAATTAACTGATTTGTAGATTAAAAACTTATTTGTAGACCGGTAGATAAATATAATAAATGATTTATTCGTTACATTCTGCTCGTTAATTCACTAATACGTCTCAATATATGAGAAAGAGGGCGCATAACTGTAATAATAATTAATAGGAGAGCGAATTAAACCTTGTTAATTGAACATAACAAGGAGAGGTGCGTATCTGTTCGGTTAGAGGTTGAGTAAAATATTACAGAGATCGCTTCTTCGAGTGTGCTGTACTCCCGAGAGCTGCACTTGCTTCGCGTTGATGACTGTCTACGATCTACCTTTTAATGACGCTTCTCTGGCCATCCAAGAAAGAAATAACGGCGATCCGTCCCGCCCATTTTTCATTCGGGACCAGTCCACGCGTTCTAGTGAGATTATTATGGAACTACGAGAGAAGACGTCTACGCGAGCGGTCTAGACTAAGTGCTCCGAGATGTACAGTGCCCGCAGTGAATGATTGCCGGCACTGTAATATCATCATCGAATATCAGCTCCGCAAAGCCGGAAAATAACACCGACGGATTCGGCACTTTCGATTACAGAACGTCGATCTTGATATTTACATCAAACTTCCACTCGGATTTTTCCTTCAATTTCGACCCGAATGCGACGTTTTTTCTTCAATTTCATCGGTATTTCCATTTCTGCTTTTGACGTCAATTCCATCTCGGTTTCCACGCATCGAAAGTACGCCGTCACGGGGTTCACGGAGTTCGCAACTCGCGTTCGGTTCAACTGCCTGGCTGAAATAAGTCGAGCTGTTTACCGTACGCGTTGTACCGCCGCGGCGCAGCGTGCGCGTTGATTGCAGGTGCAGCTGCTACCGCGCTCGAGACCGACGGTAGCCGGAGCCAGTAATCACTGTCGATTATGTTTGTGTTAGACAATCTCTGTCGCGCCAACGAATTACGATCGTCGTCGAGCGTCGTGCGCAAATGCGTGCGCGCGTACATACCCGCATCGCGACACGACGAATACCGAATATCAGATGCTCAACTTTCGATAGCGCGACTGGGAAGTAACTACAATTCTTCGCGGAGCGACTTGATAAATCGTAGCCGTGAAACACGTGTGCTGATATCCCGAGTCGACAAATTTTCAGCCCACTCCGGCGTTCTTAAGAGTAGTTTGGCGCCTAGTATCGAGATTTTCTATGAAAAATATGACTCAAACCAAATATTTTATTCATTCGAAACGCTAAATGCTACTTTCGAGCTTGATAATCGAAGTTTTTCTTTTCCCGTAATTTTTTTTTTTTCTAAGTTACCATTTTACCAGTTTGCCAAAATTACAGAGCAATTTACCGTGCTCGACTCACGGGGCAAGTTACCGTCAGATTGAATCAATTTTATCTCTAGTTACGTTATTAGAATTGAAATTGAGTCTATTTCGCTATTTTAGTTCCTACCAGTGTTGTAGAATGAAAAATGTTAACACAGAGCCGAAATTTCGGCTCGGGATTCCCAAGACGATGTCGAATCCGTCGAAGTGAGTGGACTCTGCTTAGCATACGCCGAAAAAAGCGTTCGATTTCAGAATTACCCAAGAGGAGCGAGTAGCGGCGTCCTTGACATGCCTCGTTTACCGCCAGGAATTCGCATAAGAAAAGTCGAATTAAAACTTCTCCCCTAGCTGCCTAACGACGTGCGGCAAACTGCATTCTTCGATCACTCTTGTTGCTTGCATTCGAGCGGACACCAAGGCAGATATTAATTATTGCAAAATTTCAAGTGAAAATCCGCCGGCTCGTCGACCGGCCGGTTCGAGTTTCTAAGCAACAAGAGCGTGGAATGGCGAGTTGAAAAGTCATCGCGTGCGTAATATATCGCAGCTGTGTCGACGGATGCAAAGCGAACGGCTGAGCCCACGTGGGTGCGAAACGCATCATCGCCACGGAGAGACAGCTCGCTGAGAGAGATTCCGTGGATGCAGAATGCGAGTGGGGAGCGATTTTACGAGGCGTTTTATCAGGCATCTCTCGGTCTCTCGACGCGCGCGCGAGTCGTCCCGGCATACCGGGTCGCGCTCGGATACGCTTTATGCGTCCCTATTAGCTGGCTATATCTCAGCTCTCTGGGTCTCTTTCCTCTGCATACACGTTCTCGTACGCGTGCGTGCCCGCGCACGCTATTTCGTCGTCGTCACGTTCCCACCCGCATCATCCGGATCCGAGCCGAAGACCCCGAAGGGTTGCGCCCGGTGTCGTCACCGACAATGATTACGTAATGCCGACGAAAAGGACCGTCGGTATAGAATCCATGACGCTTGATCAGGCTTGATTCTATTCGAAATATCCCTTCGTACTCGCTTAATCTTCGAATCTTTGGAAAAATGGTTAACGCTTCCGCGGAGAGATCTTCGATATATATTCTTCCTCACGGAAGGGTTACAATCGATCGAATAACGAGCGGCAGGCTCGTCGAAATAAATTCATACCGACGAGTAAATTGGCACAAGCAAAAGAGATTTAATCGCCCGACTTCCGCTAATTTCCCACAAATCGCATGACTGATCGATCGAGCATCGAAGTGCATCCTCTCAGGGCGTACGCACGTGTGCGTGTCCGTGTCTTCGCACATGCGTAGTGTTGACAGCCAAGTAGAAGGGTTGGGCCCGTCGTCGTCGTCTTAACTCAAAGAGGGAGAGAAGGAGATCGACATGTTCCGTGGACCAGAGGAAGAGAAGAGAGACCGATAGAGGCAGAGAGCAGTAGATAAGGACGGTAAAAGATGTTGAGGAGAGAGAATGAGAGAGAAAGAGTCCTCCCAGATGAGTCCTCTCTTTGAGTTCACAATCTGCGGCTCCAGTCTCGCGCCGAGTCCCGTCGCGGCGCATCCTTTCGGGGTCCGTCTCCCTTGGGACCGATCTGTCTCGAACGGGCCGAAAGATCTGATCACCGATCCGTCAGAAGATCGAAAGTCGCTCGAGTGCTCGCAGAAGAATCGGATCCTTTCATGTTAATTCCCGATTGGTGACGTGGATCTTTTACCGTAGCCCGTACGTTGTCATTTCCTGGATATTCCGTTGACGCGCGCGTTACTGCACAACGAAATCGAAACATCGGGGAGGAAGTGAGACTTGAAAAAACATCCATTCTCGCGGAAACTTTCGCTTCCCACGCCGATAAGGCTAGCTGCCACCGAGCTGAGCTAATTAACAGACTCGAACGTGCGACTAAAATCGCTGTGTGCTGAATTGGCCGAGAAGAGAATTCCGAGTTAATAACTGAGAAAAGAAAAAACGGACATCGGTTTCGAAAATGTTTCGATTTCATTGAACGGTGGTGCACGTTACTTCTCTCTTACCGAAGTGTTGCGGATAGTCGCAAAATATTCGAACTTCGAAGTCAAGTTGCTAAGTCTTTTCGAACAAGACGGCGTATATCCCACCCGTTTCTAATTTCATACGTTCCTCCTAAGAAAAGAGACGCCGAGATATTAGCTGCCACATCACCAATCGTATCATAGATCATTCACGCGAGCCAAGGATATTAGATCAAGTCGTAAATCCGGATTGGGACGACACGAGCTGAAGAAGTGCTGACTCGGCCGAGCGCTTTTTCGAGGGTGATCTTTGATCGCGGCTCCCGGCTCGTTCGCGGCGTGATCGCGCGCGCGAAATTGAAGATCATCACCGCCGGACACAATTAATCGCGATATGTGCGATCGTCGATCGGCCCACGTGTGTCGCAGATCTGTTAGCGCGAATATTTACAAGCGGCTCGTGTTAGTTATGGAATAATGCCAGACTGCTGACGGTATAAACAGGTATGTGAAAAATCCTTCGACTTTTCACGATACACGGCTTTGATTTCCTCCGCGCGCGAGAGAGAGAGGCCTCTCATTCTTTCGAACCGACCGGAAGAACGGCTTCTTTCTTCAAAATAGATCACAATAGTCGATTCGAACGATCCGCTTGAGAATTTCCGACCCGCTTCGGAGTAGGACGTGCGAATCGAGTCTAATTTGTCTTTTTTCTCTCTCGCGGGAGTCGCGCAAGTTTATGGAACTTTAATGATAGGCTCCGTCAGACCCGCCTTTGCGTTATGATAACGAGTGAAAGCCGCATGGTCGGTAAATTTGAGAGAAACCGCCGTTTCGGTTAAAGCCTCTTTCTTTTTTGTCTCGCAAACGGATAACTGGTTCGAGTCGTTTTCCAATATTTCGAGAAAAAGAGACCACAGATCGCAAATTGTTAACTACAGATGTTAAATCGCGGCGCGTAATATAATCGGCGTGTTAAGAAATATTTGCATTGGACGTTGAATAGACGCTATTCTTGAAATATAGAAGCACGCGATAACGCGCGGCGTTACGCGATCTTTCTAAACCGACGAGAAAAGAAATAATGCAGCATCGTTAAAATGAGGACGACATTTTTCCAGGGGTATTTCGTCGCACCGCGTCAAGAAGCGAACGAATTTTAAATTCCGCGCGGATAAATTATTCGCGGCGACGGTGCGAAATTATAATCGTAAATTCTCGCCTCTCGTTCGCCAAAACGCCGCTCGCGGTGGATATTTATATCAAGAGATAGTTGCTTCTATCTCATCGTACTAATTTGGCGCTTCCGGAAAGGCATCGCAGTCACAAGCGAATTATCGCCTGTCGCCTTTCTCGGTGCGGATATACGCGGCGAAATAGCGGGTGGCGAAAAGAAAGTTGCACGTAATATGCGCACGTAAAATGATCAGAGTTGTACGGTAAATCACGGAGCGTTCGCGAAACTCGGTAGGGCAGGTCGCGAGGTCAAGTTGAAAAAAAAATGAAAACGGCCACCGACGCTTTGCCGCGCGTTATAAAGGATATCCTTGTAGACGGTGGAATGATCGCGACGACTTGGAGAAATCCCTCGAGATCGGTCAAGGATCATGCGTGTTAGATGCGCGAATATCGGCGGACCTGCGAGCTAAAGGGATAATCCAGGAGAATCGAAAGAGAGATCGGATCGGGAACAGGAAGCTGCGAGAGTTCTTTACGCAGGATGTCTGCATTGTTATTAGCAGCCTGGATCGTCCTGGCATGTCGCTTTGTTCAGGACGGTGCGGCAACGGGACAACGTTACACCCCGGGTCCCACCCAAGACTTGGACAACACCCTACAATCAGTGGCACCCCTCGGGTGAGTATTCGTAATGTTAACAGCCGATCGTAAACATCGTGAAACATTAGCGGTCAATTTTCTGTTTGATACGATCGCAAAGTTAATACCCGCCACCAAGTATGTCCCGGTTCTCTCTGGATACCCGGCTGAGTAAGAATTTCGCGATCGGCGAGAGTCGATATCGTAATCGCTCCTTGAGAACGGCACTCGTAACGATCGTGTTGTGAAAAAAAGATTTGGATAATTTTCGCGTGAAAAAGGTTATCGCAACCAAGTGTTTATATAGTCGAAAATATAGTCCTTCATTGGCGGTACGTTAAACGAAATATCTGGTGGTGAACGTTTTCAGCGTCGAATCGTCGGAAAAAGAAGCGAGAGGCTTGGCCAGAAATATTTGCCGTCTTATATAAACTTGACCATTTTCCGAATCCTCAGAATATCGAATAATAACGGCGTATCTTGGCGGGACATATTTTGGTGTCCTCCGACAGGCACAGCCAATCACTTGAAATGGTTAATCGTCTCGTAACAACCCGGTATTTCGCTAATAACGCGCTTCTCTCTAGAATCCGATGATTCTCTTGCGCGGGTACCGTCCTCGTGAGTTAAATGGTGCGATAACTCCTAATTGGGTTATCGGAGTGTTACGTTACGCACAAGCGCGTTGAATTCTGTCCAAGTCGCGCCTATTTTTCGTAATAAAAGTCAAGTTTCGCCGATAATATCTTGCACTCGCGTGATTTTTGCGCGCACCGCCCGCTCTCGGCCCCGTCCGCCGCAGATGTTTTCGCGCGACCATGCCGAAAGCCAAATAGGATAATACACGGGATTAGCCGCATACATATATCAATTATGACCAATTGGCAATGGTATGCGCGCAATGGCGGAAATGCTTCTCCAGCTTTTTGCACGTCGCGAATTCGCGATCGGAGACAATCCTCATTTACTTCCGAAAATTATTACAAACAGTAAACTATTTGATAGTGTCGGCCATTTTTGGAAATTATTCGAAATATTTCGGAAGATATGAAAAATTTCAAGTTGCGCAATTTCAAGGATCGAATGTCCCAAAAAACTACGAAACTAACGAGGATTCGAAGTATTAAAATTCCCGGCGTACAAAACGCCGAAATTTCTCAAACCCAAAGTTGACAAAGCCGCGAAGAAGTTTCAAGTTTCCGAAGTTCCAATGGCAATGCAAGTCGGGGTCTCTCGAAATCAGAATTTTATAAAACTCTATTTGCGCAACCTGTGTAGCGTAGTTCACTTTTAACGACTCTAATTACGCAATTCAATGCTGAAGTAACGTCACGCGAATTGCACTTGAATTGCACATAAGTTACGCAAGTTGATATTTAAATTGCTTTTCGCGCTAAATCTTGCCTGACCCAATAAGAGCTTGCTGCAAAAGAGTCGGGAGAGATTGCGAGCTTACGTATTTATGCGAACGCGGTTACAACTCCGATCCGCGTGGGAATATCAGTAGACCTAGTTTCATGGAGTAATTTAATGCTTTCGACACTAATTTCCACTATTTCATCGTTATAATGTGCCGCGGCCGCCACGGATACTAATCGTGTCTCATAAAGACCCGAACAGAAATTAACTCGCTTGTATCGCAAAGTGGCGTTAAAACACGGTCACAGAATTATTTCATCGATACGACGTCCCTCATCATTCGATTACAGCCGTCGAGGCATAGGGAATCGTCTCTCGCGCATAAGCAGCGATTGCAACAAAATGTAACGCGAACCTTAGAAATTATAATCTCTCTTGTGCTGCTAAGTCAGAATATGAATAAATTCGCTTCGCGTCATTATCTTGACATTTAGAGGAATACAAACGATAAATGACAAAGTTCAACGATTGTAGGGCATCAGTTATCAGTGTAGTTTGCTGATTACGCGTTTTACAGTTCATCGTGTGTTCGTCGAGTTCCCGACAAACATCTCTCCGGTTTCGGTCTTGCACCTTTATCAACTTCAAACGCTCAACATTGAACTCTCAACGTTGAGCGTTTCAAGCAGCACTGAGAAAAATGTTTCGCCGGCACGGCAAATTGTTTAGTCACTATAGGGACGGCGGAAGAATTTCGGCAGCGAAAAGATTTATCGAGAATATTCATTGCTACTTGCTGGAATAGAGACAGTGAAATCATTTGATCGCGCCGACTATACATTTTATCGCTGTCGCAACCGCGGTTTCGCTACAACGGCGAGATCATGTTTTTCCTTGTGACAATTCTTCTCGTTGTTCCCGTGGTAACGAACAATTTTCCATGCCAGAAAAATTCCTTCCCTATGAGGTTTATTCAGGAATCGCGATGAAAATAAGTACCGATGTTGAAGCGGTAGTGGTGCAGTGAATGAATATTCCATGCAAGAATGTGATACCTAGTTTATAATCTGGCGATATTGAGAGTTTCGGAACGACGTCGTGTCGCACGGAGGAAGTCGCACCTTCGGAGACCCGGGTCGTGCAGCACGCGAGACGACGGTCCGTCGTCCAAGCGCGGAGTGAAATTAGAGCGGGAAATCCGGATGCCGAGATAAAACTGCGAGATATATTAGGTGGCCGTATAAACTTTTATGGCTCGCGCGACCGTCGAAAGACGTTTCGTTTGCGCCCCCCTCTCTCTCTCTCTCTTTTTCTTCCGCACGGGCGCAGCTGCATTATCTGCCACGTTGATAAAAGGCGCGTCTCCACGTTAATTAATTAGCGCGGTGGAATGCGGACGAGCGGATGAGATAAGCACACGCTCCACCCCGGAATATAAAGTGCATTCTGCTGCGTTTTTATCGGCTCTGCGAGATGACCGAGGCTCATCGTCATTCGGTGCATCTGTGATCACATTGTGCGGGCGATTCATCATTTCGCTTGAGCGGTGAACGATGGCCGCGTGATGCCTCACCGTTTCGCATATCGTCGTCGTCGTTTGATCCTCACCGGTAACGCGAGAAGGCGCGAAAACGATCGCCCATAATCCGCGAGGAGGGAAAGACCTTCCCGAAGGTGGACGAGTTCTTAAACATGCCCACGTGTGACAGCAAAATTTTCTTCCCATGCCCATATTATCAACCTAAATCTGTTTTACATGAGAACACAAAAACGCAATTGTAAACATGTAGAACACAATGATGTGAGAAAAATAGATATACGATAATGCCAGGTAGCGAGAGTGGTGCACAGAAAAAAATCAATCTTAAATTAAGAATAACTCGTGTATAAGCAAGAGTATTATCATCTTTTTCGAAGGTTTTTAGTCTTGATCGAATTTGGACTTGATTGAATTTGTATTTACGCGAGCATCACTTTCAGTTCAAGACTAAAAATCCTCCCAAAATACCACAATATTCTTGCTTATACGTGAGAACATCCATCATTGATGAAGATTATTTTTTTTCTGCGTAATCGTATCGTAGAGCGCCGGATCAGTAGCGATATTAAAGGACCCTTACGTAAGTATAACATCTACTGTAAAAACTACTTCCCTGTAACTATTTCAATCTACGTACAGTGTAAATTTCAACGAATTCTTAACAAACTCACTTTACGTTAAAACTACCTTAAACTGCTTCCGAACACTCTCCGACGTCCGTTCGATCAGTCGGGGAGCAGACATCGCATGCCATTTTGATTCTCACCTCGCGAGACGGCGCGAAAAATAGGATATAGGGTCGGTTTGACGTGTAACGGGACCACCACTTAGGAAATTATTCACGGTTAGTCGAAACTACTTAGACTGATTTAAGTCGCGCGTTACGCGATACTGATGACAGGAAGTGAAGGAGCAACTTCTTGGGATGTAGAGGCGGTCAGCATTAGAGCCGCTATTGCAACTTCTAGCGCAACTCCGTGACAAGGCGCCGTTCGTGATTCAGTATCGGCACCTTGCTCTTAATCGTTCGAAAAGTTCGCTTTCAGTTCCACACGCAATTGGAGAAAGTAGATACACTCCGAGATACGACGGATGCGATGTGAATTTCTCACAGCGCGCGCGCGCTGCCGTTCGTGATTTACACCTTGATCGTTGATCGTTCGGAAATGCTCGTCCCGCGCAGATCTCCATCGCGAGATCAAACGTTCGCGTTGATATCGGAAAAATCGGTCGTTCGGGAGATTTTGTCACAGGAGTGTACAGGAAGCGATGCCGAAGTAATGAAACTGTCAGCGGCCGAAGGTTGTTAAACCTAGCCAACGAGCGGCGGAATGATAAGAAAACATGTCACGCGTTAAGTTGTTTTTGCGTTGCTCATCGCGCCGACTAATTTTAATTTAACGCGTAATTTAAGCTCGTTACCGTGCCGCGCGCGATCATAACGCAACATAATTCCTGGCGTAGAAAAAGGAAGGATTATACAAGGTGTGCCTGAATCGCCATTCGTGTCGCAATACTGGGAGGAGAAGCTCCTGGGCTCAGCAAACGTCACGTGACTTCCGAGTTCCAGAGTAGGAAAATCTCGGCAATCGCAAAATTTCAAACAGTTTCATCCGAGCGTATCTCCGAGTTCCAAAAACGTATCTGATGGGACGTCTTACCGAATTTACTTCGCTACATGAGTGCGACACGCCGATCTCTCACGAGAGACTGACGTCACGCATTTACGACAGCTATAATTCCCCATTTCTATGTTGACATAAACAAATTAAGTTCGACCTCTCGTTCAATGAATGTAGCCGAAATTAAATTAACGCTCGTTTTCCATAGAGGAAAGGATATTCGCGTGCGAAAAGTCGGCGGTTGGGAAAAATTTCCTTAGGAGTTACATCGTCGTGTAAAAATTTACGGTGTGCGTCATTACGTAAAAAATTCAGGACGGTCTGCGAGGACGTAATAAGATTTCTCGATTGAACGGTGACGGCGGACGCGTTAAGATATCGATGCTCGATGCGATCTCTCGCGTGCGACGTAATCGCGCCCGTGCCGCAATACCGTGACCAATTGCACTTGTGACACAACACCCGTTTAAGCGGACAAACAATTGCGGCTGTGCTTTTTGCGGTTGCAATCCTTCACCCGTACACCCGCGAACCGAAACACGCCGTCGCCGTTTGCTCGTCCTTAATTGCGATCAAAAGGCACTCGCCTTCTGATCGTTTTAGTTTAAATGGCTCGCAATTCGAGAGCGGCCGCTTCAAAGCTATTATAGTCCACTTTCCAATTGAACTCTCGCAAGTAGCAGTTAGCTAATTACGAGTCGGACGTTAATTGAGTCTACGCTATCTAGACACTGACAGGGTGTCCCTTGATTAATACCTACAGTAAACCATTGATGACGTTAACAGCGTCTCGCTTCTGCTTAATGAGTGACAATATCTCGGGGGGAAAATATCTAAACAATAAGATATTTATATCCGACGCGTGTACTGATATATTGATTTTCATCCGAATTCTGTTAATTAAATAAATATTAAAAGCTACGGTCTTGAGAACGGTATATTTTCTTGAAGACAAATTCATCAATGCAAAAATGTTATACTATAGTATAAGTAAATATATTATTACAATACCCACCGAACGTAAATAGATATTTTTCAGATATTTCTTCCCTCACAATGTATTTTTATCGAAGCAAGAGATCGAAAATTCAACTAATGCCGTTGATAAGTGTGGAAAATGTAGAAAAAGAGATAAAAGTGAAAAGAAAGGGAACTTTTCTGCCAACTCCGCGAGAACGGGCGGCAACGGCGGAAAGATTTCCGAATGAAGATATCGGCCGACGAGAACACTTCGCGCATTGATTTCAGGCCTCGTTAGGCCAGGCTATCATTAGGAGCGGGTGTTAAAATTACACCCTGCCGACGCGCCCCGTGAAGCGGCCGCGTGCTGATCAATGTGATCATATCGCGCTACAAGTTCGGCGGTGGACCAATCTCCAAAGGAGCGGCCATTTACATACAGATTGGGTCGAAGCTCTCGATCGCCCACGTCCTCGTAATTCCGCCGCCAATTATTGTTATCATTGTTATTACTCAGACGCGACCGCTTCGCTGCAATTTTCCAATTAACGGCGAAACATCAAGATCGGTCACTGTCGATTTTAATCGTCCGCCCGGGTGATAGCCGGCATTTCCGCGGGGTTTCGTCGTCGCTGAAGAAACGCGGCGATAAACAACGAACAAAATGACCGGGTGTCACGGCCGGATAAGAGATTTACTGTTAGACCAGCTCGAGCGTTTTATAACCGCCGAACTGTTTGAATAATGTCCGTTTCTGGATTCTAAAGAACATGAGCTCGTTCAGCGACGTAATCAGCGACAAACACACGTCAGGTGTGTGTAATCTGTGCCACAGTTAGCAGGCCACTGTTTGAACAAGATTGCCCCATCGCACGGTGTGTACGCCTGTGTGTACACGTTTCTGTTTTTTAATATTGTCTTTTAAACACCCCTTCACCTTTCCCACTTCCCGCCCGATGGCCCCGTCCGCAAATACGATACGCGGCGAGCGTGTAACGCGTATGTCAGAAGTCACGGGGGGAGAAGCGAAAAGGAAGAGAGCGAGAGATGCCGGACACGCGAAGACATTAATCTCTCTCACGCTAGCGAAACGAGAAATGCGCATAACAAGTTATCGCGTTACTTTATCGGGCCCGCTACGCCCAAAGGGCACGCGGGGGAATGCAGAGGGCCTGCGTGCGACGCGATCACCTGCAGCCCTGGTTTCTAAAAATCTCCAAACCCCGAGATTCGATTTTGAAATTCAAAAGAATCAAAATCTCCGTTCTTTCTTCAGCGTCTCAGAGAATCCGAGTATTTCGCTACACGGAATGAATTTTCGAATAAAAATTGCCATCGAGTTTCGCAACCGAGGAACACGTGTTACTTTTAATTTATTCCCCTTCTCGTATGTGTTATTTATATTTTAAGAACTGAAATCCAGCTTTAGAAAAATTTAGTACGCTCCTTAGCAAGATAAATTCTGCTATACTCTATTTTTGTATTGCTAGAAAACATTGTGAAAAATTTCATTTATTTATTTATTCAATTAACGGGAATAATATACCTCCGGCGTATCAAATCACGGAATGTGGGAAATTATAGGAAATGAGAAAAATTCAAATATAAATGCAAAATAAACTGATTAATCAGCTATGATGAATAGAACTTGATAGAAATTACATCTGAAAGTCCTCGAGGAATTATATATTAAAAATCAACGCATCCAGAGGATTCGTTGGCTAATATGAAAATCCCGTTCACGTAGTTGAATCTTCCATACAGTGTCTTATGCCGTTCATATGAAATAAATTAAATGAACGAAACACCCTGAGTACATGGAGTTTACGAAGCTCAAGTAGTTTAAGGTGTATTATGTGATTATGCAAATTGACAAACATTTAAATGAAACCAAAAAAAGAAAAGGATCATATAACATTCCCTCTATAAAATTTAAAAACACTGCAAAATCCGAGACTGCGGGATGAAAATTTTGGAATTCACTCGAATCTAAAGGTGCGGAGAGTGAATTCGAGCGACCTACGAACCATGTCAGATAACGATCGCGTTATCTGACGCAATAAAAAATATCGCGACGTGAGAAAGCTGCCGGTGGTGCTCGCGCGTTTGCGATCGCGGCGCCGGGAGGCCTAAGTGGCAGCGTTTAGAGCCGATCTATAGCAGCTGACGTTAATTACGAGGCGCCAGATGTGAATGGCCGCCTTGTTCTGAAGTGGCACTCTCTTCCTCCGCTCTCTTCCCATTCTTCCCCTTTTTTCCGCTCCTGTTTTCTTGCGCGTGCCACCGTTTTCTTGCGCGATACCGCGGAAATGCCGCGGAAACGCGGCGTTTCCGCCCGCGGCCTCTTCGAGCTGGCGTTGCGCACAGAGAGGCCACTAACTCGCGCGAATTCGAAAGCTGGTGAAGAGGAAGTTTCAGACGGATGCGCTTTGAACGACGACGAGATTCGGAAACGCGATTTCGGAAAACTGACGAATTTCGAACTGCTTCCAGGCCAAACGTGTGCAGATCGAGGTATAAAAACTACTGCTGTCCGGGATGGACGAAAAAGCCGGAAACGGGACTATGCGTTATTCGTAAGTAAAAGTACAGATAACGTTGATCATTGTTGCAAAATTCGCAGATAGTACATACGAAAGCAGTGCACACTGAGAAAGCCACTTCTTCTTTCTTCGGAAAATTTGGAAATTTTTTTTTCTCCGAAACGATCATGAAAAATGCTTGGTTCGGAGAACGGAATTTTCACAAGCAAAACATTTGTTTGCTCGCATCGAAACAAGAAGTTTGTTTGAGCCAACTGAAGGGGATTTTCAGTAAGCAGTAGAGAGGACCTGTTAATGATCAGTCGAGTCGATTAATTTAACTATTTTGAATCGTCAAGGTAGCAATGTAACGAAAAACGCGTAGAAGAAGCGGGAACTCGTTGGAATGGAATAGCGATAATAATAGCGATGCAATGCTAAACGAAACTAATAACTACGAAGGATATGCAATAACCTTACGTATCCTCACGATCCCCGTGTCAAACGAAATAAATAACCGTCGGAACCTACCCGCAGAGTATTCGCGGGATAGAAAGCAGTTATTAATATCGCCCGCGAATAACCACCTATCATTATCATTCGGTATTGCCCGCGGACGTTGATAATGATCGTGCAATTACATAACGGACAAATAGGCATTTATGCGACACGAGCAGTCACCACGAATAAAACTGGTTTAATGACCTGTTATACGCTTCCTGTTGATCGCATTGTCTGGTAATGCGGCCACACTTCGTGATCTGCGTTCCGTCAACTTCCGGGTCTCTCTTTCTTCCTCTCTTTCCCCGCCTGTTCTATGAACCGTTAATTAATTCACAATTAATAAACCGTTACGGAAATTGCCTAATTCGTCCGTCTTCAAATTAAAATCGCAATTCGCCGTATTGTAGTTTCACATAGATTTCTCGCATTTTGATTTTTTTTTTTTTTTTTTTTTTTNTAGGTGTACAAAAAGATTGAATATCGATGCTGGACTTGTGGTGCTCTCGAAGAACGACACTTAGCATTTGAAATGTTGCTCGTATTTCAGCGATTTGTACGAGACGCTGCGGTCCTCTAGGGAGATGCATAAAGCCGAATATCTGTTTATGCGAAGGTGACATCGTCGCTTCTACCTGTACCGGCGGACAAAGCAAAGGTGAGATATGCATCGGCTGACCTCGGTCAACCCTTCTGCAACATAAAGTTATCGCAGTTTTTACTGAAAAGTATTCTTAGAAGCTACGGTCGATAACCGAATGGCCGAATAATCTCCGCGTGTCTGAATACCAAGTAGACAGCCGAGTTAAAAACTCGAATTCGTTTGACAGTTATCACCCACGAGGCCGGGCATGGCGGTGAGCGCGGTGAGAACGGCGGGTGCAGAGTTCACTGCATAAACGGGAACTGCGTCGACGGCCGGTGCCAATGCCGTAGCGGATACCAAGGGGAGTTTTGCAACGAACGTGAGTGTAAAACCGATAGCATGCGAGCCGAAATCAGTGTTGCGCCGCGTGAAGCGAGTTTCCGTGCAAATAATTAATTGGAGACCGTGAATTAGCTATTTGTCGGGAACCCTGTCTGAACCAAGGAAGATGCATCGGCCCGGATCGCTGCGCCTGCATCTACGGCTACACCGGAAGACGCTGTGAGACCGATTACAGGTAATACACCGTGCCGTTTGCTCGCTTCATCGCCGTGTTATTTTACGGTACGTCTTCCAGGACCGGGCCCTGCTTCACCAAAGTGAAAAACGGCCAGTGCTTAGCGAGTCTCCAAGGGGTGGTTTGCACGCGGCAGCTGTGCTGTGCCACCGTCGGCAAGGGCTGGGGCCACCCTTGCGAGAAATGCCCGGTCAGGATGGACTGCGAGTTGGGTCATTTAAAGACCAATCAGGGTCAATGCGTCGGTACGTCCGATTTCGCATCTCGTTCATCCGGTCTTATTCGCGTGAAAAACGAACAGAACGTAACTGTGTGGATTTTTTTGTGTGAACCAAAAACTGAACTGTCATCTGCACAAGCTGACGGAATGATTATTCACAATCTCTCGGGAGTTCGGATCATTGAAATGAGTATAACGATAATCGTAATTTTCGTGCTCCCTTTAGATATCAACGAGTGCGAAGCGATTCCCGGACTGTGCGAAGGTGGGAAGTGTCTGAACACTCCCGGCTCGTTCACATGCGAATGCCCGCCGGGACAAGCGAGGGATCCCGAGACGAACGAATGCAAGGATAAGGACGAGTGCCAGGAGGAAGGCATCTGCGCCGATGGCCGATGCATAAACACGAACGGCGGCTATTACTGCCACTGCAATCCAGGATTTATACAAAGCCAAGACCGCAAATATTGCATCGGTGATTACGTTGTTGCAGAGACATTGAATATCTTCTTGTATTAGCATGCATTTGCTCACGCTTACGATTAATTGACGTCGATGTTTGAATTATTGTTCATCAGACGGCAGGCAGGGATTGTGTTACTTAGCGGTGAATCGTAACGGACAGTGTAAGAATCGACTGGCGATGAGGTTGAGCAAGAAAGACTGCTGTTGCGGCAAGAACATGGGTCGAGGATGGGGTGACGAATGCTTCATTTGCCCTAATCCTGGCAGCGGTATGTATGCATCTTCAAAGAGAAATGCAACAAACAGTACTTGACACGCTCGAGTATTTCGTACATGTTCGTAATTTTCGGCAATATCTACTTAATTTACATAATCTAATTGTAAGCCATCACACGTTGTTAATCTAACAATTATATTAAACAGGCATGAGAGCGGTTTAGCTATCAAAATTAACGAGAAAAGTGAGTTTCAGTCATGAAAAAGTAAGAAAATAGTGAGTCACCTTTAGAAAAAGTGAATTAAAAGTGAATCCTTTCCAAATAATTTGTACGTTAAATATTAAATTATGTATCTATTATATCATTTCTCTAAGAGATTAAAAACACTGACTTTAGAGTGAGAGTCAATGAAAAACAAAATTTGAATTTTGGGAACAAAGTTACATGATATGTAAAATCCAAAATTTACATTTCTTCACTTTATGAGCATTGTGTCGTCGGAGTTATTGTTATGTTTTACTTTCGTCGAACCTTTTGTCTTGTCCTTAAAGAAGCAATGTTATTGAACATGATTTCTCGCGATCGATTTGCTTTTTGGAAGGTCTTAAACCGAGTAAGAAAATAGTAAGAAATATTAGCTTTTTCCTTAGAAGTGAGAAAAAGTGAAGTGTTTCTAAATAAATAAGAAGTGAGAAAAGTGAGTCGCTTCCATGCCTGTATTCAAATAAAATCGATCTTTATACTTCGCGTATTTCGAACGCGGTATGCCTTCGATGATTCATCAAAGAGAGATATTTTGGGGGCTGCTTCGCGAGAGAAACCTGTCGTATCGCAGCAAGCGAATAAAAACGAATCTGGAGCTCGCGAAGAGCCTATTAGCGCATGCCAGATAAAAGCGAGCAATATGACGATTGACAATTCTACAGGATCCACGTTATTACTCAATTGTAGATGATTACAGCAGGCTTTGCAACTACAGTTCTTCGCAAATACAGTTTTTCACCGAGGTGAACGAGTGCGCGCTGCGGCCGGACATCTGCGGCGACGGTCACTGCATCGACACCAAGGAGGGTTACGAATGCGAGTGCTACCCGGGGTTCACGAGGAAGCCCGGTGGTAGGTGCGAAGACGTGGACGAGTGCCAATTAGGCTACTGCCAAGGTGGAACTTGTCGCAATTATCCCGGTAGCTTCGCCTGCGACTGTCCACCCGGCTTCGTTGTATCCGGCGAAGGCAGATACTGCACCGGTAACTGTTAACTCCTAAACTCGATCCTCATTCTTGACAAAGAGCAATTTTAACGGTTGACGTCGCTAATAGCAGCCATGATAATAGCAGTGACGATATTAGAAATAGCAATAGTTATTACGGCAATTGTAATATTGTTGATATTAATAGGAATATATCCTTCTAGATCACGATGAATGTCAAGACACTGGGATGTGTACGAATGGACATTGCATCAACATGAACGGATCTTTTAAATGCAAGTGTAACGACGGCTACAGCCTGTCACCGTCGAAGAATACCTGCGTAGGTGAGGAACGTTTCTTTACTCAATTTTCAGATTCGCTGCGAAAAATTGCAAGCAACGAAACACTGTGTGATTTCTGATGCTTCAAAGAACGGTCGTGGGATGCTAATTCGCGAAAATTGTCTGCGTCTTCAGATATCAACGAGTGCATAGAAAATCCGAGAATTTGCCTAAACGGCCGTTGCGAGAACACACCAGGATCCTATCACTGTATCTGTCAGTCGGGCTTCACTCCTTCGAGAGACAACACTTTCTGCGTGGATATGGATGAATGTTCCACCAGCGGCATGTGCGAAAACGGCAAGTGTGTTAACATGGAGGGTTCGTTCAAATGCGTCTGCGACTCTGGTTTCAGGATTGGTCCCGACCTGACTCACTGCATCGGTATTTAACAACTAATAGTGCCAACAATAACGTAAACAAAATTATTCTATTCGTAAAGAGTCTGAATTTTAAATATCTACAATTTCGACTGCGCTATAGTAATTCAACACTTGCTTAGAATTTGCCCAAGTTTCGAGACTTCGGCAAGGTTCAGCGTAAAATTGAAAATCTTGACATTTAAACACAAGAGAGAGAAACAATATGCGAGAAAGGTATGGTAAACTTATTATTTACAATTATCATTATTGTTTCCAATTATCCTACAAGATATTGATGAGTGCCTAAGTGCACCCTGTCAGAACGGACGTTGCATCAACACACCTGGCAGTTTCCGATGTGAGTGTCACCCGGGATTCAATCTAGGTCCTGACGGAAGATCCTGCCTAGGTTCGTAACGATTATTTTCTGCACGAAATACGCGGTGCGTTTCGTTTGGAATATACACTTGTGAGATCTGGGGTACGTCTAACAAATGATGATTCCGCGCTGGTCAGATACGAGAAGAGATCTGTGCTATTCGCAGTACAGAGACGGCCAATGTTCCAATCCGACATCCACCGCCGTGACAAAGTCCAGTTGTTGCTGCTGCACGATAATCCTAGGCCAGCCAATGGGCTGGGGCAGCACATGTCAACCCTGTCCGCTTCCGGGCACTTCGGAGTTCGAAGCCTTGTGTCCGCATGGCGCCGGAATGACTTACAATGGCGATGGTAAAAAGTCTAAGCAAATCTTCCATTCGGAGATCCGAGATTTCAAATGCTAAAATTTGCGGGAACACTAATTCCCACATATTCGGAATCTCTGAATCCAATGTTCGGAGACGAGAATACATTTCCGAGACATGAACATTCCGAAACTCGACATTTCACAATTCGAATCCAATAAATAACGGAAACGCGAAATATGCAAATATTGTTAAAGACATCAACGAGTGCGCCCAGAACCCGAATATCTGCATCAATGGCGGATGCGAGAATCTTATGGGGACGTATCGGTGCATCTGCGACAATGGATACGAAGTAGACGCAACGGGGAAGATTTGCAGCGACATCAATGAATGCGAGTTAGAGGATTCCTTGTGTAGCGGTGGCCAATGTCGAAACACACCTGGTAGTTTCCAGGCAAGTTAACTGTGTATTGAAACCCCCATTAAATGAAGACGAAAAAATATGAGTGATCAGCTCAAATTTACCGGCCTCTTATCACTAATCTCTCCTTTATCTCGAGGCATTGTTCTGCGCTTTGACTCAACGATCTTTCACGATTAATCAGGAAAACCTCGCAGTTATCAATAATATTAATTTGTTCATAGTGCACTTGCCCGACGGGCATGAGATTCAACACGCAAAATCAAATGTGCGAGGACGTGGACGAGTGCGAGGAGTTGGGACCGGAGGTGTGCTTCAATGGCATATGCATCAACACCCTGGGAGCTTACGAGTGCGAGTGTTCACCGGGGTACATTCTCGACAACACCGGCCACATCTGCATGGGTACGAGCCTCCTCCGAATAACAAGGAAATAATCGTGCAATAAATCAATATAATATATATATATAAATCAAGGCAGTATTCTGATCGATTCCAGACAATCGGAGAGGTTCCTGCTGGACCAAGATGGTAGATGGCCGTTGCGAGAACAATCTGCCGAGAGTAGCTTTGCGTTCGGAGTGTTGCTGTTCGGTCGGCGTAGCCTGGGGCAGCCCCTGCGAGATCTGCGACCACTCTCTCTGCGAGTGCTCCAAGGGCTACGCGAAGGTGGATGGCAAGGGGTGCACAGACATCAACGAGTGCGAGCTCAACAGTGGGATCTGTAAGGGTGGAGGCACTTGCGTTAACACTGACGGCTCGTATCGCTGCGAGTGCCCGCCTGGTCTCACTTTGGATGCAGCACGTAAGCGAATGGCGACAAATTAATAACAAGACACGTAATGTCTCAGAGAAAATGATACGAATAAAGTTAATTGAAAGAGAACATTCATTAATAAAGTTATGAGAATATATTTCAAAAAAATTACAATAATATTGATGTATTCCTTATTATTTCGATATCTCTTCGACGATGTTCTAAATCGTCTCAATTATTTTCGGGAGAATTTTTGTCGAATTACCCCGCGTAAATTATTCTATTTTTTTTCCTATTTTTTTTTTTCGATCACAGATACTACTTGCATCGACACTAGGCAGGAAACTTGCTTCTTGGACTATCGTCACGGTCAGTGCACCAATCCCATAGAAGGTCATTTCCCAAAGAGTCTCTGCTGTTGTTCCGTCGGCCGTGCCTGGGGTAGCGATCGGTGCGAGTTGTGTCCGAAAATGGGCACGCAGGCCCATGCGGAACTGTGTCCTCGGGGAGAAGGCTTCACCGAGCGTCAGGATATCAATGAATGCGTGGAGTTCCCGGGGATGTGTCTGAACGGTAGATGCAAGAACACGATCGGCAGTTACAGTTGCAGGTGCAATCAGGGCTATGCGCTCGACGAGCACGGCATCAAGTGCAACGGTGAGTTCTGCACCTCCCGTGAAATTTTGGAACTTAAAATCAGGCAATTTGTATCCTGAAAATGATCTTCCCGTGGGATGCCGGATCTCGAGGAAATCAAGCCCTAAGAAAGTTCTAACGACTACTTGCGAAACAACGTAGACCGTTACGTGAACGTTGAACAATTTGAACTTCAATTCAATTTCAATTTAATTAAAGTTTAAAGTTAACTAAACTTCATGAATTTTAAAAACTCTCGTTAGATATCGACGAGTGCGAGATAATGCGCGGAGTCTGCGGGAACGGCACCTGCAGGAACATGCCCGGCCATTTCCAGTGCGACTGCAGCCCCGGTTATCGCAGCAACGACATCATGAAGATTTGCATGGGTACAGTGTGAAAAGTAAAACAACAAAGTGGCGAAAAATCTGCCGATTCGATCACGTCTGAAATATTTCAGACATAAATGAGTGCGAAGAGACCCCGGGATTATGTCGCGGCGGTACTTGCATCAACACCGAGGGGAGCTTCAACTGTCAGTGCCCGCCGGGGCACGAACTGGGACCCGACAAGCAGTCCTGCAAAGACATAGACGAGTGCTCGAGGACCAGCGGTATATGCTCGAACGGCGTCTGCGAGAATATGATGGGCACCTATCAATGTATATGCGACGACGGTTATCAGCAGACCGGTCTCAGATCTCACTGCGAAGATATCAACGAGTGCGCACTTGGCAACGGTGGCTGCGAGGACGTTTGTCTCAACACTCCGGGCAGCTTCTCCTGCTCTTGCCGGTAAAACAATCATGATTTTGGTGATAATCGGCGCTACAGTGGCCGCGTGATGTTTGCGCGGCATCAATTTCATGTTATATTCGCGCATCGATATCTCCGACTCGATATCTTGCGATTCATGTTTAATCGTTTGTGACAGCACCGGCTACGCTTTAAATCTAGACGGTCGATCTTGCATGGACGTAGACGAGTGCAAGGAGAACCCACGAATCTGCAACGGGGGTAAATGCAGAAATATACCGGGCGGTTATAGATGCAACTGCACGAACGGTTTGCTGCCCGGGAGAGACGGCACGTCTTGTATAGGTGAGCACTTCTTCATTTACTCATTAAGAATTATATAGGCTTGGATCGAAATATACGAGTCGAATTAATGTAAAGGGAAGATGCATCGATAAAATTGCGGAAATATATGAAAATCGTATCCCACTTTATGCGTGATACGTTATTTATTATTATTATAACTTGCGTATTATCAGATATCGACGAGTGCGTGACGCAGCCGCGAATATGCGGATTCGGCGAGTGCTACAACACGATCGGCTCCTTCAACTGTCGCTGCGAGGAAGGATACTCGGTGAAGCCAGCGGAAGGACCCGCCTGCACCGATGACGACGAATGCCGGTTAAATGCTTATTCTTGCAGCGAGTTCGCCGAATGTCAGAACACCCAGGGCTCGTACGTGTGCACTTGTCACGAGGGCTTCACCGGGAATGGGATTGAGTGCTGGGATATTAACGAATGTTCCACGAACAACGGTGGCTGCGATTCCAACGCTCACTGTATCAACACCGAGGGTTCCTTCAAGGTATCCCGTATTCAACGTATCTTTCAAAGAAGTCTCGAGAGAATAGAATCAACGGATAACGTGGGAGTATCGATCGATCGATTTAAAAACCTCGACGGATTTGACGAATCTCTGTGCCTGCCGGTTTGAAAAATCCATCGGTCTGTTAAAATTGATTTGATCCTGAAGCCTGAAATTGACGTTTTAATTTTAAATCGAGGAATTAACTTGTTAAATGCCAATTTCAGAGATCGATTTTAAATTTAAAATTGAAAAATTCCGAGATCTAAATGTTGAAATTGACTTGAAAATTGGTCCCTGCAGTGCGTATGCGACGCTGGCTTTCGAGGCGACGGCTACAGCTGCAAGGACATCGACGAGTGCGCGGAAGACAGCGCACTTTGCGAGAACGGGCACTGCCTGAATTATCCGGGCGCTTACCGCTGCGAGTGCGAGATGGGTTTCATGCACCCGGATGAGCACAACGAACAGGCGTGTGTAGACATTAACGAGTGCGAGATGTTCAGCAATCTGTGCGTTTTCGGCCACTGCGAAAACATCTTCGGCATGTTCCGCTGCGAGTGTAACGAGGGTTACAAATTGGACGGCTCCGGCGGCAATTGCACCGACGTGGACGAGTGCGAGAGTCCGCAATCCTGCCAATACGGCACCTGCATCAACACGCAGGGCAAATACATCTGTCGCTGCCCGCCGCACTATGAGCTTGTGGAGGCCGGAAATGCTTGCGTGGGTGGGTATCACGTCGTCAGAAATGTTCAGTTATTCTCGCACTGGTGTATCCTTGTCGTCATGATTCACCATCGATCACACAGATAGACGCGAGTCGTTTTGCTTCACGGGTTTCGAGCATGGTACCGGAAGGCCTCAGTGCGTTTTCGAAGTGGCGTCATCGGTGACGAAGGCCACATGTTGCTGCAGCATCGGCAATGCCTGGGGCAATCGTTGCGAGGAATGCCCGCAGCACGGCACGAAGGAATACGAGCAATTGTGTCCTAGCGGGCCGGGATACAGGCCGAATCGCGTCACCGTTATTCTGGAGGATATCAACGAGTGTGAGGAACACGAGAACATTTGCCAGAACGGGCACTGTACCAACACGTTCGGTAGCTTTATGTGTTCCTGCAACGAGGGTTTCATCCTGGACGATACCAAGACTAATTGCATCGGTAATGAAAATACCGGAGGAGTTTCGAGCGAGATTTCGGAAACTTTACAATCGTGCTTTCGAATCTCGACATTTAATTCGCTATCTTCCCGGATTTTTCTATCTTAGTATTTTCACGCGTTTAACGTAACACGCCCGCTTAAAACGTGTGAAAATGATTGCAGACATAAACGAATGCGCACTGCACCCACAAATATGCGGCGTGGGATACTGCATCAATGATCAAGGGAAATATCACTGCGAGTGCCCGGAAGGATACATGGCGATGCCTGGCGGAAGTCAGTAAATCCGAATGCAAAAGTCTATATACTTCTGTCTGACCTTGCTGTATAATGAAATTTCAAGTAGTCACACGATTCGATAAGTCGGCACGACTACTTCGTAACGTCGTACTTTCTATCGCGATACAAATGGAATTGAATCGAAATGTGACGAAAGTATAAACCGAGGTTGCTATCGGAAGAACAGATGGATTCGCACGGTTGTCACGCGGTTTGTTCTTTCAGAGGAGTGCGTCGACATGAGGAAGGAATCCTGCTATCTCACCTACGATTCCGGGCATTGCCTCAACCCCATGGTGCAACCACAGACGAAGATGTTGTGCTGCTGTTCCATGGGTGCTGCGTGGGGCAGCGATTGCGAGAAATGCCCGGGCGAACGGACACGTGAGTACCCAAACGGTCGAACTATCGTGAATACTAGCGCGAATAAAATCACCGGTCGGTCATCTTGTGTGTCAGGTGAACACGAGATTCTGTGCGGACTGGTGCCGGGTCAGATCATGAACCCGATCACGAATCACTCCGAAGAGATCGACGAGTGCGCCCTGATGCCGACGATGTGCACCCACGGCCGATGCATGAATACACCCGGTAGTTTCGAATGCCAGTGCGACCGAGGTTACGTTTACGATGAGGATTCGCATCAGTGTATCGATGAAAACGAGTGCCTGCAGGTACGACGGTCTCGCAATTAAGAGATCTCGATTCTTTCTCTGTCTTCTGAAGCGTGTCAGGAGAGGAAGAATGGTGGAGATCAATATCGAGGAATAGCGATCCGACAATTATTGCCTGTGCGAGGTCACACCAAAACGTGAGATTCCTGTTATTTGTAGATACCGAATCCGTGCAGCGGCAACGCACAGTGCCGCAATCACCAGGGCTACTTCGAGTGCGTGTGTCCTGCCGGCTACAAACTCGGTCTCAGCCAACATGACTGTGTCGACATCGACGAATGTTACGAACGACCGGGCATCTGCAACAACGGCTTGTGCAACAATCTGCAAGGTAGCTTCCAGTGCGTCTGCCATTCCGGTTTCTCGCTGACTCGCGACCGAGACAATTGCGTCGACATCGACGAGTGCCAGCGCAATCCAAATATATGCAACAACGGTACTTGCATCAACACCTTGGGCTCCTACAAGTGCCAATGCTACCAAGGATTCAAGCTGAGCCCTAATAACGACTGCGCGGGTGAGCTGACGAATCTTGATCCCTAATTTGATTTTATAATTGAAATATGTTTTTGCACATCTTGATTTCGACTAATTCGCTGCAGACATCAACGAGTGTCGAATAATGCCGTTTTTGTGCCGCAACGGCCGATGCCGTAACACGATTGGCGGTTTTGTTTGCGAGTGTGCGGACGGTTACGTGTTGGCGCAGGACGGTCAGCACTGCCGCGATATCGACGAATGTCACGAGGTAAACTGCGATAAAACACGCATCTTAAATTTACACTCAATTCACACGCTCGTATATCAAGCCTGTCTTAAATCGTGTCTTACTGATATTTCAACAAATCGAATACGCAAACGCTTTCTAGAAATCACAATTTCTGGTTGTTGGATCGATTTCTTGCAGATACCGGGATTGTGCCCATCGCCGGGGAAGTGTCAAAATCTGATGGGATCGTATATATGCTCGTGTCCGCCGGGTTACGAGTTGGATCACACGAGGAAAAAATGCGTCGGTCCGTAAACTTTCACATCCGATACATATTGATCGCTCAAACAGTATTACATCGCGCGTACGCGAAGCTCCCTCCTCCTTGGAGAGCTTAAATTGATTTTTCTCGCAACCATCTCGTAGATGTGGACGAATGCGTGGAGACGAGAGAGATTTGCGAGAACGGCCGGTGCATCAACACGGAAGGCGGCGTGATTTGCGAGTGTCCAGTCGGGTATCGACTGAGCGACAAACCGAACTCGATGAGATGCATCGACGTGAGAGAGGAGCTGTGCTACGACACTTACAGGCGAGGCCAATGCACCAGTCCACGGGAAGGCGGTATGACCAGGAAACACTGTTGCTGCACGATGGGCAAGGCTTGGGGACGCTACTGCGAAGCGTGTCCACCGGAGAACAGCGGTAACAAACATTGCGAAGAGAAATATTTGAACAGAATTTCCCCTTCGACAAGTAGTCAAAGTAGTCAATTAGAGGCGCTCCGACCGCAAATCATTGAAAGAGGACATTTTCCAGTCCGACTATCTCAGAGAACGTATTAAGGAGACACGATGTTTATTTAGAAGAAGATTCCCGAAGAGTAATGCCCAACTAATTATGCTCGTCTAGAGGAATTCAAGAAGTTGTGCCCGGAAGGACCGGGCAGGGACGACACCGGGATTGACTTGAACGAGTGCCTGTTCATGCCAGACGCCTGTTCCGGAGGCGAGTGCATCAACACAGACGGCTCATTCCGCTGCGAGTGTCCGACGGGATATATGTTGGACGAGAGTGGCAGACGATGCGTGGACAACAATGAGTGTTTGAGTGTCCAGAACATCTGCGGTAACGGCACTTGCCGCAACATCGACGGCGGCTTCGAGTGCTCCTGCAACGACGGATTCGCGCCGGGAGCTAATCAAGTCTGCGAGGACGTGAACGAGTGCCTGGAGTTAGGCAATCAGTGCGCTTTCAGGTGCCACAATGCGCCAGGCTCCTTCCGCTGCATCTGTCCGTATGGATACACCTTGGCGCCCGACGGCCGTCATTGCATAGGTAAATAATTATTATAACTAATATAATTATTATAAGTAGTATATATTAGTTATAATGCATAATAATACACATATTAATATATAATAAGATATACATAATAAATATCATAATTAATATATTATATATTAGCTGCGATATAATTAATGTATTATACAAGATGCGAAGCAATAACCACTACTGACTTGAATATCTTCGAAATATGAAATACAGGAGAAACGTTTATCCAACAGAAATTGTATTGAGACATACTAATGTATCATCATTTCGAATACCTTCTGTAGATGTGAACCCTTTCTTATTTTATCAAGTCATATTTTCATAATAAAATATTTTTTACTTTTCGACGATATTCAAGCCGATAATAGTCACCGCTTCACTCTGTACGATACATTAATATTATTATAATCACAAAATAATTGCATTAAATAATTTTTTTAACGATCCCTCGGGCGTTTTATATCCATAAATCACGTGGAGATGACAAATCGTAAGTGTGATTGTGTCAGAATCGGAATTATATTTCCAGACGTCGACGAATGCGTCACGCCGGCGAACGACTGCAGATTCCAGTGCAAGAATCTGATCGGCACTTTCATGTGCATCTGTCCCCCTGGATATCAAAAAATAGGAACGGTAGATGAGTGTAAGGATATTAATGAATGCGCCATTAACTCTGGTCTCTGTCAGCATGGACGTTGCGTTAACTCGGAAGGGAGTTACCAGTGTCTCTGCTACGACGGTTTCGAGCAGAGTCCGGACGGGAAGTCGTGTATCGGTATGAAGCGGCAGAAAATTGAATATTAAATGATAACTAGCACAGGCACCTCTTGATTTCGACCATAGAAATATGTCTGCGCTTTCCTATGATCAGATCGAAGAGTCGGCTATTGCTTCCTGCAAACGATCGGCGGCAGATGCACCGCCCGGACCTCGGAATTGCGTACGGTCACGAAGGCGGACTGTTGTTGCACCATGGGGGCGGCATGGGGACCACATTGCGAGATCTGCCCGTCCCGAGACTCCGACAATTATAACGAGCTCTGTCTGGACAAAGGATTCTCCGTGGACGGTCAAGGTAGACGCGGTCGTGTTATTGTCCGATAGATATTTAAAATGTCGCTGCCGATCGTGCTACCTGTAATCTAATCAATTGCGATAACAATAGAATTCTCTCTATTATCGAACGAAATTTTCAGATATCGACGAGTGCAAGACCATACCCGATCTTTGCAGGAATGGCCAGTGCATCAACACCCTCGGTTCCTACAGGTGCATTTGCAACAAGGGCTACAAGGCCGATAAGTCCGGTATTCACTGCATCGGTAAGATTCTCCGAATAAATAATCGTAACGGTATTCCGTGACCATTCTTTTCATCATCATAATCGCACCGAAATGGGCTTGCAGACATCAACGAGTGCGAATTGACGCCGAAGCCGTGCAAGTATAACTGCCAGAATATCGAAGGCAGCTTCATCTGTTCATGTCCGTCAGGCTTCATTCTGAACCCGGACGGTATCAGCTGCAGGGACCTGGACGAATGCGCGACCGGAAATCACCTGTGCCAGCAAAATTGCATTAACACCCCGGGAAGTTACACTTGCGGCTGCCAAGAGGGTTACAACCAACAAGGGGACGCGTGTCATGGTTACGTGTCTTCTCTCGATTTTCTCGTTATCCGATTATTACACGACGTTTCTCTAAACAACAATTTCTAACCTGCCTCTTATAATATAACCTTCTCTTCTCCAGATATTAACGAATGCGACCAGCCGGGAGTTTGCCCGAAACCCGGTAAGTGTATTAACACTCTAGGCAGCTTCCAATGCATCTGTCCGAGAGGTTTCAAGCTGGATCACACCGGGAGGTTTTGCACGGATCATAACGAGTGTGCCGACGATGCCAATTGCGAGCATGGCTGCCAGGTAAGATTAGCTTGTGCAAATTGGTTTTAAGCAAACTCCTCGACATCAAATCTACGGACGTTCAGCTGATCGTTATTATCCTAATTCTCACGTCTAAAAAGACTTAACACATCGCGAAGAAAATTCTTCGTCGTCTAACGTAGCGAATTTTGGGATTCTAGAACTTCATGGGTAGCTACCGCTGCGGCTGTCCAGACGGTTTCATTCAACACCTCTATTACAATCAGTGCATCGATGAAAATGAATGCAACGCGTCACCTTGTGGCGACAGTGCTTGCATCAACACGATTGGCAGTTATAAGTGCGGCTGTCCGGATGGCTATCAATTCGATAACAATTTGGCGATTTGCGTGCAGGTATAACAATTCGAATCCTTCAATCATTTCCGGAAGATATCCCAGCTACGAGATTAAAACTGCAAGATTAAAACTACCATTCGGGTATCGTAACATATGAAACAAAAAAATCAAAGTTAAAAGCAGAGAAGAAGTATATCTTTGTAATTTGTCCTCTAAAGGTGAGTGCCGGGTGTCTCGGCAGTCCTTGCGCCTTCGGATGCACTCCTAACGGAGCCAGCGGATTTATTTGCGGCTGTCCTACTGGTTATCAACGGATAGGACAGGTCTGTCCTCGCATTGTACAAGATAACGAAAGTAGTTCTGTTTAAAGTATTAAAAAAATCGTAAGAATACTTTTATTTCCAGGGTCACTGCTTGTCCACCATCAATCCATTATCTCAAGGACGCTATGGCGAAGATATCGGCAACGTGCCGACTTTCCAGATCAATCCTGATACTTACCACATACCGCCGGCTGACGATAAGACGATTTCCACGGAAGGATGCTTCTCGTGCAAGGTTTGTGTATCATGTTCACGATTTGCTTTTATGATAATTCTGATAACTAGATGGCAAAGATTCTCGATTTAGGTAAATGGAAGACACCGAAGAAATACTAAGAACAGGTCGGCGGACAAAGAGATCGTAACAAAGAGAAGTGAAATGATGAAGAAACACCGAAATGTTAAAGCAAAGCGACATCACCACGGGATGCAGCATCTTCTCAAAGTCAATCTGCGTCAGACAAGGCACCGCACGCGGATTATTAAGCTGCAATCCGCTATCAAAGTAATTCTTGCATAATTTTAACCAATTCAAAGAAAAATGCCACTTCAAACGTCACTTGGAAATCTTCTCGCAAGCACATCCGCGATATTACTCTAACAATCCGAGTTACACCGACAGCACTAATTATTCGTTTACAGGACGAAGAGATGGACTACAGCATCGTACGAGGCAACAACGAGGGGCACTTCGAGATCGTCAGGGAAAACGGTATTTCCGCCCTGCACTTTCGCCACCGGCTGAAGAGTCCCGACGAATTTCGCATAGTGATTCACGGTCGTGCCAAGAAGCAGGCGGCGGCGAGCAAAGAATGGGAGAAACCGCTAACGTTCAGAGTCCACCTGATAGTCGTGGAGTGAAAAGTCACGGGACAGGATCGAGGACAACTGGACTCCGTGAGAGAACACTGCCCAACACTGCGTTACGCTTCTTCTTAGTCAATTTTTTCGCGGAATTATTTCGAGCTGTGGCGAAGTATTAAATATACCGGGAATGCCAACGTAATGACAGGAGAGTCGCGAGAAACACAAATGGCCCGTAAGAATCGGGGGGCCGATCATCGAAGCACGAGTCCTCGGTTAATTGAAAATCCGTTTTAACAGAACAATAGAAGACCGCTGTGCGCCTCGACTTCTTGCGCTCACTCGCGCACAAATCGCCTCATTTAACTGCCAGATAATCAATATTCTATCCACGAACAATAACAATTCCTTACGGCTGCGAGCTCACAATACACCCGCGAGATCTTCACACTGCCAATGTGCCTATCAAGTGCCTTATCCTTTATCTTTCTCGACAGTTTACATTTAGTCGTTTGTACGGACTCGCGCGCGTATCGGAATAATTTTCACGTAGAAGTCTCATTAGTGCAATTCACTTTGTCGCGCGTCGTTTAAACTAATGAAAAAACCAAGTCGGAACGGAAACTACTCTGAGTGTTGTCTGTTAAACGCGAAACATACAACAGCGTTCTCTTTATCTACCGCCTGCAATCGTAACGTAAACGCAACACAATTAGATTAGATGTAACGAAGACTAGAGATGTACAAACGCTAGATTATATTATAGCTTTAAGCGAACGAACGCAGAATGTACACAGATATACGCAAGAACGTAGCTTTATATATTTATAAATCTTAGCTCGAAACAAAATACGTGGCACGAGTGTAGTTTTGCGCGCGATATGAATGCATCTTGCGCTCAAATCTCCAAGAGAAATTCGTACGCATGTCACCGACACACGTCGGTTGCTTGATGATACATTACGACATTTCGTACCAACAATAGTAAGGATATTAGTTATGTATAAAACTGAAGAATATGCCAGAACTCGTATAATAAAGATGTGAAAAGAGTTTATTAAAATCGTGTTGCCCTCATTTTCAACGCATATAAATGTTCAAGATCCTGCGGACAACGTTTCTGTTCATGTTAATAAATTCTTAGCTGCGCAAGAATACTATATTTTGTATTCGAAAGTTTGAATAGCAAAAATTTAATTTTAAAATATCATTCTGATTCCAACTTGAAGAACTTCAATTTTCGGAAAGCACTCCGAACTTGTACGTCATATCATGTATATACATCCTGCCAGGATACAAGACGCATGATGGAAAATGTCCGATATTAACAGCGTTGGGGTAATTCTGGGGTGTCAATGCAAATCCACCGTGTCGGTGATAAGGGAGGCCTCCTTTGCCATAAATTGGCTCGGCTTTTCTTATCTCGACTTCCGTCATCTGCTCGAGATGTAATATTTTAGAATTAATTGATTTTACAGAGATCACTAGTCCAAGGCAAGGCTTCAATTTTACATTTACCGACTCGAAAGAATCAACTTGCAAATCAGGGGGATTAACACGTTCAGGACCCGACAGTTCATTGCCCGTGTAGACTTGCAATCCCGGATGGTTCGAGTAAATTTCCAAAAATCGTCCGGAAGTAGGATGTAAAATTCTTTTCACGTAACAATGAAACATAAGTCGATTAATCCCGGCACACTGGAGTAAGTAAATTTTCGGCGTGTAAAAAAAATACTTCCTTGATGAAAGCAAACGCGATGCTTTCAACAAAACGTCTCACGTTATGCAGAGAACATTGCAGGATTTGTAAGATCGGGTAAAATTTGGGGATTACCGAGCGTGAAAACGATAACACCAGTAATTGGGGCTATTGATGCACAGATTGTGGTTGTAACCGCCACCCGGTACCTCGTATAATCGGCGACGGTTCAACTGGGTCGGTAAACGTAACTCGTATACTGTACAGTCGACCGGAGATATAACACCAGTCGGCAAGTTGTTCTGCACATCCGTAAAAGTCCAACTGTCGGCGTTGACCGTGAGAACGTGCTCGTTCAATTCTTTCGGACCTGCATGCTACTGTCGAACTCGCTCAATGTTGTTTTGGGAGAATTCGAAGCAAATATCCAAGGTATCTTATAATTATCATTTAAAAAGTATACCACAAAGTACACCACATGTTCCCGAAAAATAGAGCGGCATTATCCTCTTACAAAATTTAGATGAAGCACCTTTTATCATCATCAAACTTCTTAATGATAGAAATTTGGGCAACGGAGATTATGGCATACTTTTCAGCAATGATGCCTATATATGGGTACCTAGGTATTCTGACATTATTCGGATGTCCAAAGAAATTTTTCGGGAATTGCACGAATATCTGGCTGACCGATTATTGCCCGAAGATATTCAAGTGCGTCGCAATTGATATACATAATATTTTAGAGAAACGAGAAATCAAATCAACTGATACGAAATGTATTGCTACGAAAATCAATAACAGTTAAGTGTTAACTCGCAGTTTTTGAACCCAGGTATCCAGCTAATACGGATAATTACAAGTATCTAGATAGTATTCAGAAATTAGAATACCAGCTGGATGCTCGTGTAGAACAAAGTTCTATGTTTATATCTTACATGCCCGGCAAGATTGAACAGACAGTAATTAGTGACATTGACAGGAGTCGGCTTCGTGGCAGTGGCGCGAATGTTAATGTGAAGTTGATTATCATTCGTCCAGGTGTACTTAACTTGCGTTAACAAATCACCGGGGTATCCCTCGCTATTGTCTCGGCTTAAATGCGACATCACCTCGTCGAAGAATATAATATAAAAGGAGCAAAACAGTTTAACAGTTTTCTGATGAATTTTAAGGAATAAATTAGACCCTACCACTCGATTGTTCACTATCTGCGACTGCCAATTAACATTGTCGAACGCGACTATGCCGCCATTGAAATGGTCCTTTCCGGTCTCATCGTTAATCGACAAAGGGTAGATTACGTTGTTGAAACTCATCAGACCGCCGGAAATGCGATTGACGACACGGCCAATAATGCTTCCCATGTATCTGTTCTTCAAATATCCTAATTACGTTAACGATGATGATAAAATATCACTTGAAAGTGACAAGTGCCGCGCGTTTATCTAGAAATCCATACGCGCCGCGCAATTTCTAATATCTCATTAAATTCGCGGCGTTGAACGCGCGCGATAACAACGCCTGTCTGATAACAAAAAAAAAAACTCCATGCTTATTATTACTCGGTTAATTCGCTCAAATCAAAAATTTACCCTCCATATCATCGAATCCCAGAACAACGTCGACCAGTTTGCCACCTCGATTAGGGATTTTAATCGATTGGATACTGGCACCCCAGGATATCAAACGGACAACTGCTTTGTGCTTATTCGTCAGTGTGTACCTGTCCACGTCAGAGACACATGACACATTTAGGTTAGAACAATAGCATATTCACGAAATATTTGAGAGATTTTCTCATGTACAGAACAAGGCGCTTGATTTGCATGATGTTCATTTGTGTCGAATTTCCTACGCAGAGCTCGTCAAGCAAATACATCCTATCGTGACGTATAATTTCTCAAAAGGGTCTAACGTTTTCCCGAAGAATAATTACAATCAGATATCGAAATAATCTCAATAGAAGCGGAGCGCTTCTTTTTGCGTAAGCAACAACAATCTTTTAATATTTTTAATACTTAATACCTTCTAATTATTTCAGGTGGCTTGTCAGATGCGACGCTACGTGACTCGGGGACAAATCCGAAACCGTCCTCTCGGATCGAAATATTTTCACGGGACATTACGCTTGAAGTTAAAATAAAAATTCAAATTCTACCGATCGTTTGTACTTTATTCACATTTTCGAACTTTACCTTGTTTCACACAGCACAATTTTTTACCGGTAGAGAAAACGAAATCTAATTGGAGTAATCACACAGAAATTTCGTAACTGGAACATCTAGCCTAACAAATTGACACTTTGAAGTCAGCGGCGTATCCGCTGCCAAACACTTGTTTTACTCGTGCGAGGTATGTCGAGAATCTTTACTTTCTGTCTCCCTACTATTTCGCCGTATGACTTTGTTGCTTTCCCAAGTAAGTTAATCACGACACCGGACGATACTTTTCGTACCGCGCCGAAACTCGAATGTTAACACCGAGCGGAAAAATCAATGCTACCGGAATATATCCCTCCGTCCCTCATCCATTAACTGGATACTTCTTCATAGACAAACATTTCCTACTGCCATCGGCCTTCATTTACGCCGCCTGCGTCAAGATATTCGCGGGGACATTCCGAGAGGATATTTCGGCCTCTGCTCGCTGCATACGCCCACATTTCACCCTCTACAACCCGCTCCGCTTTTCGTTTCACCATCTGGCGGTTTCACCGACGTGTCGCGAAAAAAAGAAAAGGAAAAATCGCGAATTGCGGCGTCGCGATTCGATTATCTCAAGGGACGCGAGGCTGCCTCTCCTCCTTTTATCGTCCCGGTCCGCGCGATTCGGAGCCTCGCTTCCGCCGGGCTTCAGAACAGTCGATGGGAATAATTACATTAATGGCGTCGCCGACAAGAGAACGTGACAACCCGGGTGCTACCTCTTCTCCACCGCCGGCGCTTGCTCGTGTGTCGGAAGGCACCTCGAATGAGAGAGCGAGCAGGCACCTCGACGGAAGCGTAACGCTCCCCTTCCCACCACCCCCTCCCCCGCTATTGCCGAGTTATACAGAGTGGCGCGCTCTCGCACCATCTCGCGCGGCGCGCTGCGGCGAGCCCGCTCGCGCGCTTTCTTCCTCACAATGGCGTAATGCCATTCTCGACGCGGTAACGCGCACAATGACGCCGCATCCCGCCGCTGGAAAGTAATTATCTTAATGTCCTGACGAGCCGGCGCGGAATGGAGACACTCGCTTGAAACGACGACGAGGACGACGCCAGGCACCGGGGGTTGGTGGCTCCGCGGCCGGGCGGATTCGTCTTGCGAACAATCCCCCCCCCC